ATGCTCCGCCCTTCCATCCAGGGGGGGGTTCGAGTTGTAACGCCCGCCCTTATCCAAGCGACCACACGACGCGCTTTTTTTAATTTTGTGGGACCTGGATTCTGCTGCGTGCGTCATTCCACCAGCACCCCCACAACCGTATGCTCCAAAGTTCTCCCGTTCCCAGCTTTAAAGGAGGCGAAAGAGGGCAAACACTCGGCCATGACATACCGATTCCATGTGCCGCCACGGCTTGGCGACACGTGCTGCCCACGGCACGTGGCGACTAGGAGCCTCGCCGACGCGTCGGCGCGACGCGTGTTGCTGCTCGTTCGAGGCAGGGGGCAAGAATACAAGCGCCGATGCAAGTACATTTGCCTTGTCAGTCTCTTCGAACTTGCTGCGCAGGCATGACCAGATTAGTGTTCCAGCCACGCATACAAACCAATCAGAGTTTCCAGACCCCACAGTACTCAACCGGGCAGTTGGCACGAGAGGAGCCACGTCCTTCTCATCTCTGAGAGCCCGCGCTGCTCTCCGCAGCTGAGCGCCAGGCACACGTTTCCTTTCATCGGGGGGGGGATTGGGGCCCTGGAAGGAAGGAGCGTACAGGAGCCACCCAAGGTCAAGCAAAACTTGAGTTGGGCAAGCATCGTTGAAGGCAGCAACCGTACACGCCATACTGGCATGGCCGGCTGGACCAACATCGCCAAGGGGTGTGTTATTCCTAGGGTATTTCCCACCACGCATACGAGTCAAACGTCTGATTGAGCCAAGGGCTCGTGGTCCATCGCTTCGCTCATGCATCGCAACCGCAAGAGGTGTCTGATAATCGCGGCCACAACGAACACATAATGTTAGATCACGCAGGTGGCGACGGATGTGCCCACCACCCGAGGATTTCGTACAGGAGGACCTGAAGAGTTGCTGCTCAGAGACGCCAGTAGCCCAACAATCAGCACGTCGGAACCGCCCGACAGAAAGGGTCTCATAAACATTGGTGCGCGAGGCGCTCAGCCGCACCCAGCAAATCCACAGTAGTTCCATACCAGAATCATTGGCTTTCTTTTTTGGCACGCTTTCAAGATCCAGGCACTGCAATAACTGATGTACTGATTGGTTTCGAATGTGGAGCCCACTGCCAAACGGCTACGGGAAAGAACCTTGGTGGGGCGAGCCACATGGTAGCATGTAAGAGGGGCTACACGGTGGATTTCGCGCCACAAGGAACAATGCTCAGTCCACCGAGCGCGGCGGCTGTAAAACCCAAGGTGTACATGTCTATAACCGATTGGCAGTTAGCGATCTTTCATACGAAAGACTGGGGGCAACATTCGACATATAGAAGTAGAACGCATACATATCAGCCCCAGGGGCGTTTTCAACAAGCAGGGGGGCAAACCATAAGCTGACACGTTGACTCGCGCTCACGAGAGAGAGAGAGAGAGAGAGAAAACAAAAAAAGAGAGAGAGAGAGAGAGAGAGAGCGCACGCACCCCACCCAGCCAACCAGAAGCGTGAAGGGAGAATGGCCACAGGTCCCGGGCCGTCTCCATGCGCAGGCGACGAGGAAAGCGGACCTTCGCGAACACAAGCCTAATCAAGTTCGGGGAAGGGCGGTGCAGGAAGGGCGGCACAGCGCGGGTCCCGATTTCCAGGCCGGATTGCTTGTGTTCAGGAGAAGCACCAGACCAGGTATCGTGGAGGAGGACGGCAATAGGAACAGGATTGGGAGAGGCAGGCGGAGGGGAAGGGGGAGGAGGGACGAGACGGAGGGGGTTGGGAGGGGGACCGAAGCTTTGCTTATCGGAGGGTGCGACGTCGCTTACTGCGACTCGAGCGCTTCACTTGATCCTCCTCTTTGGGCCACTTGAGGTTTTTAATAGCTTTGGGGTGCTCTAGTCCGCAGGTTGATCTGGTTGACCAGGGATCTCTGGCGCGCGCGCGCGTCCATCCCCCTCTTTTCCTGCCTCCCCCCCTCCCTCCCCGCGTCCTCCGCGGGCGTATCGTCCCTTCGTCTGTCGTTCCGCACTCTTGCCACAGGGCCCCCTTTGCGCTTTCCGGAGACATTCGGGAAAGGAGGGGTGGAGCATGTTTGATTAGGATGAACCTGCAGCGGAATACTCTTTGCATCTAGCCGCAGTGATGACTTTTCGCGGTTGGTTCTGCGTTGAGGCAGTCGGGCGAGATCTTCGGGATCTTGCAGCAGATGAAGGACATTTCAGCCGCATGGGTTATTTTGGACCCAGGTTTGCAGACATGACGATTGGTGTGCACATTGCATTGTTTCGCAGTTTGTTCATCCTTGCATTGGCCACGTAACCGTAGCTGCCACCCACACGCGCCCCCTCAGCCAGACCTCTATGCTCGACTCCGAGTCGCATGCCTGCGCGTTCAAGGGGAGCGCATCCTGTGTTGCGCCAGAGCTTCAAGATGCTCGAGTGGTCGGCGAGTATGCAGCAATATGATCCACAAACATTTGTGCGCCAGTATTTCGCAATGATTGTGCATGTTTCAGAGACTTGCGAGCGAGATGAGGTTACAGGGTTGGCGACGGTGTCTTGGCACTCTGTTGAGCAGTTGTAGCCTCGTATGTTCAGGCGATGTCATATCGACGCTCAGGGGGAAGAGGGCTCCCGATGAGCAAATTTCTGCCACGCGCAGAGGGGGGGGGTAGTGGCCGACCTTGCTACCCGCCCCCCCCCGCCCCTGCTGCGCCAGATTGTGCCAGCGATACCCCCATGGGCACATGTTGGTGCGGCAAGTGGTGTTCACCGCGTCGGCGCGGCGGCGACGCTGGCGCGGGCGCTCAAGGTTGTTGGCCACAGGCAGCCTGCACTATAGGCATGCTGGAGTGGCCTCCTCCACCGGAGCGGGGATCACAGAAGATGGAGCGATGCACGCGGAGTCAGTCACTAACAGCCAGGGCGACACTGCGGGACCCAGGCGCATGCAGATCCTTGGTGCATGGAGGACCGTGCGCTGTGCCCTGTCTCAGAAAGGTCCTCGGTGCCCTAGGGCGGAGCCTTGGGATGAGTAAATGGTCCAGATGGAGCATGAGGAGGATCCTGATATTCCAGGAGGGCTGCCAAATGGCACCAGGAGGCGGCACAAGAGATCGAACATTGGTCGCGCATCGTGCGCCGAAATCCAGCCCAGCGCGGCCAGCCAGCCAGCCTCCGTCCTCGCCTCCCTCCCCCTGAAGAGATTTGGTTTGAATTAATATGCTCTGGTTGCATTCCGTGAGCGTGATACGAAGAAATCCTTCCTCAGTTCCTCTCTTCCTTCCCCCTCTTGTTACTTCCCCCATTCCCTCCCCTCGCTCGGTCGCCCTTGGGCGGGGGGGGGATGCTGAGAGGGAGTGCCCCGCCTGTCGCAGGCGGGCCAGGTGTCTGGTTAGGCTGGGATAGGGGCAGCGCGAGCCGAGCGCGCACTGATCATGCCATTACCAGCAGTGCAGATACGATGTCGGCCGTGGGATGCGAGCTCGCGCACACGGGAGTCCTTTCCGTTCCCCTCTTCTTCTTCCTCTTCCTCCTCCTCCTCCCTTTATCACTCTCCTCTCCCTTAGGGGACGCCGAGTGTCCGCGTAGCCACGTCGCCGCACCGGTCGTGCGGAGCCTTCTGGCCAGGCCTTGGGTGAGTGGTCGGTACATGCGCCTTTCGGGCCCAGGCTGCGGCCTAGCCAGGAGTGGTCCTTTGGACAGGGAATGGGGCCTCGAGCCTCGCCAGGGTCGCTACTGGTACGCAGTCGGCCTCCGATGGCCCTTTCTCATCCTCGGCCGTGTCCCGCCCAAAACCTGTCCCTGGACCCCTCCAGGGGGTCCATGTTGGGCCACTGTGTCCCAGCAGCGCCCTCGGAGGCCACAGAGCGAGGAGGTGGGCGGGGGTCAGCGAGGAGGGAGAGGCAGGAGACGGAGGAGGTGCAGTCGGCCTTCTCCTGGTTGGGGTGGGGGTAGGAGCAGCGACCAAGGGCGTGTGAGTCACAGGGAGGATGAGGAGGAAGAGGAGGGGGAGAAGGGGGAAGGGCTAGGGCGGAAGAGGGGTTACAAAACAATGATGGGGAGGAGGAGGAGGAGGAGGAGGAGGAGGAGGCCTTTTCCCAGAACGGGATGGATAACTGAGCAGGGATGGGGACCGATCTCGGCCGAGAAGAAGGAGGAAGAGGATAATGGCAAAGGGGATGAAGAGGAGACGGGCGAGCCTGTCTCACTGCGGAGGAAAAATGAGATGAGTATTGCGACGACGAAGAGGATGGCGACGAGGTCGAGGGTGGCGATAAGGACAGTGATGGTGGACGGGAGAAGGGAGTACTGATCATTAAAAGGTTGGGGAGTACGAGAAGGATAGGGACGATACTAATCATGATGTTGATTTTGATGACGATGTTGATGTTGATGATGATAATGATGATGTGGGAGGCAACAGCATGAAAAGGCAGCTAGTATGCGCCAGACTTTTTGCATGCAGGAGACTTTTGAAAAGGACATGTCGGAGACCCAGAAGGAAGAGATGGCGAACCAGAAGGCGGGCTGAATCTCGTCACTCCCACCGATCGTTTCTCTTCTCCCTCGCAGCCTGATCTCTTCTGGCCTCCTACTCTGGATTATCTCCTTTTCATGCGTGTTCCTCGTCGCTCCCCACCTCTCCGTAGCCATTTTGGCTCAAGGGGCCTGCTCTTGAACTTCCCAACTTCGCTCGAGTGCGGCCATAGGGGCCATTTTGCAGTCACGGCACCCTTGCAACAGGTGCTAATCCGTCTCCTTTTCGGTTTCCATTCCTGCGCAGGGCTGCTATGGCCTTGCGCGACCTCGCCCCATGGCGCAACGGCGGCGGCGGCTGGCGCGGCCGCGGTGGCGCCAAAGGAGGTGGTGGCAAGAGGAAACAGTATGATGTCTGCTCCGCCTGTCGGCACTGGGAGTATCGGGCCTACGGCAACTGGTGTTGCTCGAAGTGCGGTGGCCTCTGCACCGGAGACGCTGCTGGAGCCCCTGGTGGTCGTCCTGGCGGGGGTGGAGGAGCTCATATCAAAGCTGCTCAGGGAGGAGGTGATAATGGCGCTGACCTACGTGCGGCAGCGCAGGTGTTCTTGGCTGCTCGCCCTGAGTTGCAAGGGCAGCTTGGCGAGTTCGTGCAGCCTCCTCCGCAAGAAGTTGTCGAGTGGTCTCAGGCTCAGCTCCATGACGGTGCTTGTACTGAACGCACACGTCTCGCCCGTGAGGTGGAGAACCAAGCTCGTGCTGTCCGTCTTGCGTCCCAGGACCTGCATCAGCGCAGCTCTAAGGTTCAACGCTTGCAGGAGCAGCTGGAAGAGGCGCAGGCTGCCACGCGTGCGGCCCAGGTCGAGGAGCAGGAGGCGCAGGCGAGGAAGAAGGCTGCGGACGACGCCGTGGCCGCTTTCCGCGAGGTCGACTGGATCGCCAACGAGCGGCAGGAGCTGGCCGCTGCTGCTGCCGCGGCTCGCGACGCGGGCGCGAGGGCGGCTCAACCGCAGCCCCCGCCTGGCGCTGCCCCTGCGGGCGGCGCCCCTGCGCGGGGCGGCGGCGGTGCTGCTGCGGCGGATGGCGCAGGTGGTCGTCCTGCGGGTGGACGTGGAGATTGCGACGTTCGTATGCATGGCGACATTCCTGATCTTGCTGGCTATGATGATGACCAGCTGCGTGAGTTCTGTGCTGGTCGGCAGCTCCCCATCGATTTCGTCAAGCGCTTCGTGGAGATGCAGCGGCAGATCTACGAGGTGCCTGCGTCGGAGGCGGGTTCGGATGCTGGCTCTGATGCTGGTGATCTTCCTGCCGAGGCTGCTGATGAGCTGGTCGCCCTCAAGAAGCGCTCCCTTGAGGGCGCCATCGGCGAGCAGGACCGGCATCGCATGGAGGAGCTCATGTCCAGGAAGTCTCATGCCCGTGCTGCTAAACGAATGCGACGTGCCCAGGAGTCCGTGGGAGCTCAGTTCAAGGATCTGTTCAAGGCCGCGGTCCAGCAAATGCCACAGTCTGAGCTTTAACAGTGAGCGGCAAGTGAGGCTTTTGTATTGTAATATAACCCGTTGGAGTGCGCTTGCGAAGTCTTTTCTTGCTGGCTTACATTGCAAGGCTGGCGCCTTTCTGTTCTGTGAACACCGCCAGCCCCCTTCTGAGCTGAAGGATGCTCAGCGGCATGTGGCCGCCATGAGCTGGTGGCCCCATTTCCTCCCTGCCACCCCTCCCCCTGGGGGTGGGGCCCATGGGGGGTTGGGGCCGCTGTGCACAAAGGTTTGCATTTTAAACGTTTCTTGGCGCATGACCGTGCCGCCCGTGAAGTAGGTGCTGGAAATGGTTGGATGTTTCTAGAGTTGAAAACTCTCAGGTGTACCATTGCTGTAGGCGTCGTCTATATGGTCGCTGACTTGGGGGTCTCGGGGGAGAATATAGGTAAGATGCGGCGCGTCAGGGACTTCGTGAATTCTCTCAGTATACCGTGGCTTCTCGTTGGCGATTTCAATTTTGACATTGAGCTGATGGAGCTTTGCGGGCTTCTGAAGGTGACCCAGAGCAGAGCTTTGCCACCGGTGAGTGTGAGCTACACGTGCAGTATGGGAAAGGGTGCGCTGCTTGATTATGTCGTGGCCAGTGAGACTCTGGCGCCGTACCTGAAGGTAACCAAGTATCACGCGTCCCCTTTCAAGACGCACTGTGCTCTGGACATCCGCCTGCCTCACTCCGCGCTGCTGCAGCAGCTGTGCAAGAGGGTGAAGCCGCGCAGTTTTCCTCATGTGGAAGGCCCGCGTTTGCCATGGACTCATTATCTTGCCGCTGCTCTGTCTCGGTGGCGCCCGGGGCATCATCGGTGCCCTCATCTAGCCCCTCATGTTTTCAAGCACCTCTCGTTTGAGCTGGCTTCGTCGTATCAGCTATGGTCCAGGGCTACTGAAGACATGTGTATGTTGCACGAGCACATCGAGCACGAGCGTGAGTATGAATGATACATTTGGGCGTGGCACACGCATGAGCACGCGGCGTACCACACTAACTGATCATCGCAATACGTCGGGCAGTTTCTCGGAGCCTGTTCTTATGCGTTGGTCCACGGTTTCCCAGAAGCTGTATGACTTACGTGTGGCAGTACAGCACGGGTGCCATCATATGTGTACTGGACTGGCTCGGCGTCTCTATGACCACGGTCAGCGTGTAGATGGATATACCTCGCGCTTACCTGCTGATCAGTCTGCTGCTGAGTGGCGAGCTCAGCTTTGAGATTTAACGAGCATCGATCCCGCTCGATGTCAGGAGTTGATCGATCGGTGCTCTTGCACTCCCACTAAAGCTTGGCATGCGGCCAGGGGCTCCTCGGCTAAGGCCGTCAAGGACTGGCTCATGAGGGCCTTGCCGCGCGGGGCTAAGACGGCCCATGCGTGGCTGAAGCGTGACCAAGGTGACCCGCTCGAGTATTTCATCGCGCCCGAGGGCGTGTTGCAGTTGCCAGAGGAAGTGATGGCTCACCGCATTGAGAAGTGGAGCTAGGGAGGTGCATGCTGCGAGCCGTATTTTCTCTGAAACCACTGCGGTCGGGGCGGGCCACTGGAGGCCCCGAGATTTTCCCCAGTTGGACCCCCGGGCCCTCGGAGCCCTTGCTGAACTGTACACATCGTGTGAACGGGCTATGATGTGGCCCTCTCAGATTTTCTTGGAAATCATTGCCCTCCTCCCTAAAGCGCTACTGACGAGCGCCCCGTGTGTAAATGCCCCACCCTTTATCGGGCGCGCTGTAAGATTCGAGGGGTTTTCTTGGAGAACTGGTCCCAGGGCCACTTGGGTTTCCGGGATGACGCTGCCAGTGGGACCTCTGCTGTGCAGGCGGCGCTTCGGAGGGAGATCTGCCATGAGGTTGCTATGTTCGAAGGGCAGAAGCGCGTGGCCGTGCACTGGGACCTCACTAAGTTTTTCGACACGGTGGTACCAGCGCGGCTAGTCTCTTTGGCCTGTCGTTTGGATTTCCCGCCCCACCTGCTCTACCTCGGGCCCCTGATCCACGTGGCCCCTCGAATGCTGGAGTCTTCTGGGTGTTGTTCTGATGTGATAGCTTCGGGTATTGGAGTGCTCCCAGGGTGTATGCAATCCATGTCTTGGGCGAAGGTCTATCTGTATCAAATCCTTCGCGATGTGCATCATCGGCGCCAACCTGGAGTCTCCACTCGTTCCTATGTTGACGACTTGTCACAGGTGGCCCAAGGTAGTGCGGATGAGGTCCGCCGACAGCCACTCTCTGCTGCTGTCCACCTCGGCCATTCTCTCGAGCCAGTGGAGCTGATTTTGCCCGATAAGTCTGCTATTGTTGGTAACGATCAGCAGCTTACTCTGTTGCTCTTCAATGGTCTCAGGGCAGCTGGTTTCAAGTTGAAGTTGGCGAGTGCTACCCGTGATCTTGGGACCTCGACTACTGCTGGCAAGCGGCATGCCGTGGATATTACCAAAATGCGTAGGCGCGTTGCAGCCCAGAGGGCTCGTAAAGTTAGGTACTTAACGAAGTTGGTGAAGAAGGCCTCGAAGTTGTATAAACCTGGAATCTTGGCCACGGGGACCTGGGGGCACCAAGTGGTAGGTCTTTCTCCGATTCAGGTCCAGAACGTTTGGGGCCAGGCTGCTGTGTGCTCTGGTGCTTGGCATGCGGGAGCCTGTTCTACTACGATTCTTGGGACCTTTGGAGGGCCTCGGGGTGACCCCATTTACCGACTTCAGCGTGAACATCTGGAAGGATTTGCTTCGGCCTGGGCCTCTCTGGATCCTGAGCCCAAAATGAAAGTTGCCGTGCTTTGGAGGAGGATTACGGTGCATGAGTACTCCACCATAACTGTTAATAAGATATGGCGACGTGTGCGTGGCCCCGTGGCGGCCACGGTTGCAGCGTTACTTGGTCTAGGATGGCTGCCTCTCTCTCTCCAGCACGATGGCGCGACGATCGGGGCGTGCTGCTCCAGTTGGCCCAGCCAGGTTTCCGCGTGCACCTCCGCCGCTCTATTCAACTTACGTGTGGCGCCTTGATTTGGCGCAAGGCTTCTAAGCACTACCTAGTAGGAGGTGTTGAAGGAGGAGTTGATTTTTACCTGCATTCGGAAGGGGTATCAGAGGATGGGGAGAGGTTTGGATTATGAAGGGCAGCCCATCTCATTGAATACCATATCGGGCGGGTTTTGGACGGAAGCACGGCTTCACCGCGCAGGTCATGTCTTTTCTGTTGCAGGCGTCTGTGTTCGGTGCGGCGAGAAGATGGAGACCCCGTACCATCGCTTTTGGGAATGTCCCATGAATGAGTTTAATCCTGACACTACGGTGGCTGATTCGGCCCATCTTGCTGAGCGTGCTGCTCAGGATGATTGTCCAGCTCTTTGGTGCCGCGGGCTCGGGCCGCTTGATCGCGCCACTGGGCACCTTCCCGACCCGCAGGATCGCACCTGGTTCTGGGGTTCGTTCGCTGATCGTGAGGTGAAGGAAGGAGGAGTTTGGGGGATTGACGGATCGGGGGGGAGGTTCGCTACGGATGCCAGACTAAGGAGGTGCGTGTGGGCGCGCGTACGCCTGTCCACCACCCTCGATGATATCGACGGTGGATTTGCAGGCGCCCTCCCAGGCCCCGACCAGTCGTCCTCGCGCGCGGAGCTCCTCGCGTTGATTTTCGTACTCAGGTATACGCTGGGCAGAGTTTTGATTTTCTGTGATTACCTTCCTGTGGTGCGAGATTGCCGTAGGCCGCGAGCGGCCTTATGTGGTTGTGATATGATTGATATGTGGGCGGTTCTCTGGCAAGTTTTGGATCAGCGTGAAGGTGAGGTTGACCTCAGATGGACCAAAAGCCACCCCACGGAAGCCCAAGTCAGCGCCCTTTACCCCGCTCGAGTCGAGCGCCTTTTGACTGGCGCTGCTGATGCATGTGCAATCGAGGCCGCTAAGAGGGCCGAAGTTCCTGATGCGTGCTCGGCGCGCACTCTTTTGCAAGATGAGCTGCACGTTTCTATTCTCAGGTGGCTTGTCGCCATCCAGCGTGATGCGGTCGCGACATGTGCGCGGGACAGCGTGTGCGCGCGCGCTGGGCGTGATGAGGGCCCCCCGCACGTGCGACGGAGGGGCGGGCGGTCCTTCGCGCAGGAGCGTGTTGCGCGTGTGCGTGCGAAGGGACATTGCCCCGTTGTGCTCCGCACGTTGATCAAGTGCAACCTGTGCCACTGCAGGTTTAGCACACGTGGTGCGCTGGCTTCTTTCTGGCCTGATCAGTGCCAGGGCAGCCGCTTTGCCCGCTTCGCTGCGCCACTGAGTGAGGGCGAGGATGAGGTTTCGGTTCCTGGCCCTGTTTTGGAGGGTGCTGGCGCCCACCTACTGGCCATCCACTGCCACGAGACCCATTCCTTGTCCGTGCTGAATGGAATTTTGCATTGCTCTACCTGTGGGCGCTTCGCGGCCCAAAGTGTCCGAGGCCTGCGGGGGCCGTGTGCGCCTCCTACCCGCACTGGGTCGGAGGTGATTGATCGGCTTGCGAGAGGGCTCCCGCCGAAGTCGGGAATGTCATTCCCTCGTGAGTGATGTGGCTAATGCGGCCGAGCCGGCACTCGGGATCCGCGCGTTCGCCATAGCGCCATAGCGTCGCTCCCCATCTCTCCTCTTTCCCTGTCCTCGTCCTTTTTCACTTCCACCTCCCCCTCCAATGGAGTACGCAGCATTGTCAAGCCGCGCATCATCACCTCCCCCTCCCCCTTCCCCCCCTCAAACCTCCGATGGACCTACAGGGTTGCCAGCCCTCTCGGTTGGTCCATCCTCCTCCCCATCCTGCCATTAAACGCTCCTCCTTCCCGCCCCCCTCAATTCTCTATTCCCACAGCCCCGTCCTCTCCTCGTCATGCTGTTCCGCTTCCACTCCTTCCCGTCTCCTCACTGTGCTCCGCCTCGGCTTGAAGAGCACGGCGTGGCTCGAATCCTCCCGCCCTTCCCACCGTTTCCCCTCCTCTCCCCCCCCCCCCTCCCCGCGCTGAGCCCTTTTGACGAGAAATTGGTTCGAGGCTTTCTTTGCGGAGGGATCGGCTTCAGCCTACTTACCGCACGCAGCCGCCCTGTCCGTCATGTTTCCCCTAGTCATCCCTGTTCACTCCTTTCGCGCCTTCCCCTCCATTCCCTTCTCCTGCCCGGGTCCCCCCATTCCCCCCGTCCCGCCCTTTCTAATTAGTTTCCTCGTACTCCTCGTCATGCTCTCCCACATCATCCCTTCCTATTTCCTCGCGTAACTCTCCCTCACCCCTCACCCCATCCCCCCCCCTCATCCCTCTCCTCCGCCCCCCTTCGCCATTCTGCACCTCGTCGTTTCCCTCCACTCCTCCTCACTCCCTATCCTCCCTTCCCCCCCCTCCCCATCCCTCGAGGGAGAGGGGGGGGGGACCTGATCGCGCAGCGATGGCTTCGCGGCAGGCGTACGAGGAGCTCAAGGCGGCAAAGGACACTATGGGTGGGCGCGTGCCCCTCCCCCTAATCCTGCACGGGCAATTCTTGTTGTTTGCGTAGTGGTCGAGGATGGGGAGATGGGGAAAGGACAAGAAGGAGGAGGATGAGAGGCGAAGGGAAATGTAAGGTGAAGCCCAGATGATGAAGAGGAGGGACGGGCAGGATGAACATGGGGAGGGGAATGAGTGTGGAAGGTGGGCGGCTGATGTACATGGAGTGGGGAGAAGGATGGGGAGGGAGGCGGCGGAGGATGTGAGAAAGTCGGAGGAATAGGAGGAAGAAAGGGAGGAACTGGAATGGAAAGAGGATGATGATGACGATGGAGGATAAGAAGGTTCAGGAAGGTGATGGTGAGGAGGAGTGTTGAGAAGACCGACGACGAGGAGGATGAAGTAGAGGAGGATCGGCCGCGGGGAAGGGAGATAGTGCAGGAGGAGGGGAACAGGGATGGTTAATCCAGTAGCCGTACATGCGGCCCTCCGCAGACCAGCGTGAGAAATCTTAACCAGTTGTGCAAAGTTCCATATCAGCATGAGGACTATCTAAGATAGTGATGTGTCAATAGTTCTGTTTTATTTTTGTATACCGACAACATATCCAGCGCAGGCTCGTCACTCTCAGGAAGGATCACAATTTGAGACATTCAGATCAAGCCCACCAGTAAATCGTGCCTCGTGCCACGTGGCAGCACGGAAGCACCGTGCGATATGGAAAAGCGGCCGCTTAGTGTTGAGTTCTTTGTTTTGGGTCATGCCATCTAGAACAGCGGTTCGATCAAGACTTGTTGGCAGCGGCCATCCAGATCAAGTCGGACCGCTTGCTTCGGGAACTTCGTTTCCAAGGTCGCTTCCGGGATATCCGTGGCTCCCCGTGGCACCCTCATGGACCTGTCCGTATCGTCTACCATGCAACATCGGGACACACGATGGCCACCTGCAGCGCCGAGACGCATGCAGATCGGCACTACGCAAAGGAACGCGGCCTGCTCCCGTGTGCGGCTTCGCCCGCATGCGCAGGAGAGTCCCGTCGAGCACGTGCGGAGAAGGGAGCGGGCAGGCCGCGACCGTCATGGGCCAAGGCAGGCGAGGGGCAGCGTGGAGGGGGGCACCCGCAGAGGCCTCGGAAAGCGTTGGTCGTGGCGCGATCCTCCTCCTCCTCCTCCTCCTCCTCCTCCTCCTCCTCATTCTTCCTCCTCCTCCTCCTTCTCTTCCTCCTCCTCCTCTTCCTCCTCCTCATCCTTCTCTTCCTCCTCCTTCTCCTTCTCTTCCTCCTCCTCCTCCTCCTCCTCGGCACGTCGAAACAGTGCCGGTTCCGAGGGCCGAATTCGTGCTCGGGCCGCCCGTGGTTTCGTCGCTGTGCGATGGCAGGACGGCGCCAACCGAGCAGCACAGCGGTGCTCTCGCTGACTGTCTCCTGTGACTGCCGCTCCCTGGCCTCCGCCTCTGTCCTCCATCGTTCAATGCTTTGTGTTGTACACTGTGTGTGTCTGTGTTTTGGATTCGTGATTCGTGAGTGTGGCAAATGCGCCGCCTGGCGCAGAGCATTGGCTTGTATGTGTTTGGGGTTTTACCGCCCCAACTGAATTAACTATGTGTGAATCATTCGCTCCTGCTGAGCCTCGGGATAGAGCTGCAATGCAGAGGCTTGGGCGTTGCTCCCAGTTGCTCCCAAAAACGAGGAGGCCAAGGCGCGGGGGAAGGGAAGGAGGGTGTGGACGAGGAGGAGGGGGATGTCGTCGGGGAGGCTTGGACTGAGGGGGAGCTGGGGGACGACAGGGCCCCTCCTCCATCTTTTCGTGCAACACCGCTCGGCCTCCAGAGGAGGCGCAGGTGGCCGCAGGGCAGGAGCAGGTCAACAGCAAGACGCAGGAGCTTGCGGATACAGACCAGCGCCTCGCCAACTCCAAGACGGACATCGAGGACACCAAGAATTCCCTCGGAGCGGACCAGAAGTTCATCATCGGCCAAGCAACATTTACAAGGACGAGAAGGATGATGATTATGATGATGCTGATGATGATACTGATGATGATGATGCTGATGCTGATGCTGATGCTGATGATGATGATGGTACTGATACTGAGACTGAGACTGAGACTCAGACTGGAACTGATGATACTGATGATGCTTGTGGTGGTGATGGTGATGATGACGATGACGATGACGATGACGACTACGTGGACGATTACGATAATGGTGGCGATGATGCCGATTCTGCTAATGACGTCGATGATTATGATGATGTTGCTACTGATGCTGATGCTGATGCTGATTACGGTGATGATGATGCTGATAATGATGATGTGACGCTGTAGATGATGCAAATTATATTGATGATGATGATTATGATGCTGATGATGATGATGATGATGATGATGATGATGATGATGATGATGATGATGATGATGACGGGATGAGGGGGATGAGGATGATGAGGATGAGGAGGATGAGGAGGATGAGGAGGAGCATGAGGACGATGAGGAATTTGACGTTGACGATGATGATGGGCATGGTAATGATGAGTATCATGATGCTGATGTCGATGATGTTGTTGATGAGTATGATCATGATTATGGTGATGATGAGGTTGATGATGTTGATGATGGTGATGCTTATGACGATACTGATGATGCTGGTGGTGGTGATGATGCTGATGATGATTGTATGATGGTTTTTGTGGTGGTTATGCTATGATGGTGACGGTGATGGTGATGGTGATGATGTTGATGATTACTAGGCGGGTGAGGATGCTGAGTAGGAGGTTGATGAAGATGTTGATGGTGCTGATGATGAGCACGACGATGACGATGGTGATGCTGATTGTTGTGACGATGATGGCGCTGTTGATGGATGGCGATGGTGCGGAGTAGACGACGATTTAAAAAGTCACAATGAGCGTTGTGATGGTGATTGGAAAGTAGAGGACGGATGTATGAGAAGGAGGAGGAGGAGGAGGAGGAGGAGGAGGAGGAGAGGAGGAGGAGGAGAGGAGAGTACAAGGAGGATGAGGATAGGAGGAAGGTCAGGGAAGAGGTAATTTGAGGAGGAGGATGACGAGGACGGGGACGGGTATGAAGTGGTGACCCTGACGTTGACCACAGGTTCCTCATGGAGCTGAAGGAGAGGTGCTCCATGACCGACTCGGAGTGGGAGACGCGCAAGGGGCCCAGCTGCGCCGATGCCGTTGTCGGTATTCGGTTTTGGGTCGTCGTCTTCGTCTTATTCGTCATCATCTCACCTGTCCACCCACCGCGGACGATGACGACGACGACGTGGCGGAGGGAAGAGGAGCAGCACCAACAAGACAATGTTGAGGATCTGGCAGGATGAGGAAGAGGAGGAAGAGGAGGAGGAGGAGGAGGAGGAGGAGGAGGAGGGGGAGGAGGAGGAGGAGAAGATCAGCAGCACGTGGAGGGAGAAGGGTTGGGGGGGATGAGCAGGAATCCGTTGTAGCAACAGCTGGAGCAGGAGGATGATGAAGATCAGCTTCAGCAGCGGCAGCATGAGGGTGGGATGGCTGAAGTGAAGCCTCCCCATTCGCCCCTCTGTTTCTCCTGTGTAGGGGGGGCTGGGTGGCAGGATGGGGAGGGGGGGCAGGCAGCGAGCGGTCGGGCGAGCGAGACAGGTAGGACAGAAGCGAGGAAGGGGGGAGCGCACGAAGGCAGCAGGAGGGACGGATAGATCGCATCAGGGGGTGATGGGGGCAGGAGGGAGGCGGCAGCAGGTGGGAGCAGAGGGAGGGGGGAGCGGCGACGCTGAGAGGAGCAGGAGGGAGTAGGAGCAGGAGGCATGAGGAGCTCGAGGCAGGAGAGGGGGCAGCATCGAGGGGAGCGGAAAGGGGGGGAGGGAGGGCGGGAGGAAGGAGACCGCCGCCGCGGGCCCAGGCCAGAAGACCCGGTCCCTCGAGATGGAGGCCGTCTCGAAGGCGCGCCGCTGGCCAGCGGACGCGGCCGCCTCCCAACCCAGACTGGGGGCCCAGTCCTCCGTCCCATCCCTCCGCCCGCCTGCCCCCTGCTCCCCGCTGCTGCTGCTGCTCCTCCCTCCTCCTGCTCACTCCTGCTCCGTCCTCTTTCCCGCCGTCGTCATCAGCATGGCATCATCAGCCCTCCCCCCTCCCTCCCTCCCTCCCACCCTCTGCTCCCTCCATCGCCCCCCCGCCCCCTCGAAAACCAATAAGAGGGGGGGAGCGGGAGAGGGGGACGTTGGACGAAGGCCCAGGGATCCAGGGACAGCGGGACGAAGGGAGGGAGGCAGGAGCAACGCGGTAGCAGAGATGGGCAGGGAGGAGGGAACGATGGCGTTGGGCGGAGCGTTGAGGGCGGATGAGGAGGAGGGGGAAGAGTCGAAGAGCGGACCGGTGAAGGAGGACGAACGTGAGGAAGAGGATGGTGAGCGGGAGGAGAAGGAATAGAAGGAGGAGAGGCGGTGAGGAGGAGAGTGAGGAGCAGGACAGGTAGATGCGGTTGTGGATCCGGATGTACACAATGAGGGGAGGAGGGAGGGCGTCGTGGATTGGAGTTTCTTCTCGTCCTCTTGCCACCTCTTGCCTCGTGTTCATCCAGGCCAAGAGCTGCAGCTGGAAACCCTGCGGCAAAACCACATATTTCCAGGCAAATTCCGCTGTGGCGACGAAGGCCCTCCAGGAAGTCCAGAAACAACGAAACACGTACATCCGCCGCAGCTACCCCCCGCCCTGTTACCTCCCTCTATCCATCCTGCCGTCAAACTATGGGCTTAGTCCCTTTTTGTTCTCGAAAGGGCCCGATTTTCCTCGGTCATATGGCTCTGTGGGTCTTCCCCTGGTGCTCCGCGTGCATCTTGGCGCAACCGAGTCCCACAAGGGGCCTCTTTCCTTCTCCATGGACCCCTACGGCACGACTCCGACTGTACCTCTCTGTCTACACCTCAGGCGATGCTTAAGAAAACTTAAGTTTTCGTCCATAGTCTCGATTATTCTTCACTTTTCAATGTAACTCCCAAGATTTTGATAGAAGTTCTGGGTTTTGTTCAAGTCCTGAGACCATGAATTTCTTAACCCATGATTTCTTAAGCATTTCGCAGGGTGTACATCCCTCTCCCCATCCATTGCCTCCTGCCTCTTGGCGCGGAGTGCCCTGCGGCTTCCGCAGGCGCTCGCAATCCTCAGCTCGGACGAGTCCCACGACGTGTTCACCAGGACTGGGGCGCATGGCTATCCAAAGTGTAGAGCGAACGTCGCCGCGGCTGGATCCGCTTCGAAACCCTGGTCAGGCACCTTTCGATGACAAACTCTGACGACATCACAACGCGGAAGAGCAAATCCAGATGTACAGATTTGCGCGGAACATCTCTTGAGAGCCCAGCTGGCCGGCCCAGGACTCGGCTCACCCCGCAGAGCGGAGGCGGTGAGGAGGAGGAGGAAAAGGGTGAGGAGGAGAAGGAGGGGGAGGGCCTTCCGCTTGCGTTGCATGGGTTCCCGCGCGCGGCTGCAGGACATTCAACCCCACGCTGGCGCAGGCTCGCGTGGCCGAAGAAGCGGGGGGAGGGGGCGGGCTGTCCAGCTCTGCCCGCTCCCTGCCTCCTTTCGGTTGCGTCCACGAGGGGGTGAGGACTATCGGATGGCATTCGGCCTATCCCGCCATCGTGGCTGGGTTGTGGGTCAGAGGCCTCTTTGATGGTCGCTGGGACCTCGTCGAGGCTTCTCGGGCGCCTCCCGGAGGCATGTTTGAGGCCTCTGGGGAGCTGTTTCGGGGCTTCTTGGGGCCCGTCTTGGGCCCCTTGGGGGCCCATTTGGGCTTCGTGTGGGCCTTTGGGGGGCCTCGTGGGTCCCCCCCCTGGGCGCCTCTTGGAGCGCAGGCTGGGATGGTCGGTCCGTGCTCCCCCTCTGGGGCCCCTTTGGGGCCGTCTTGGGCCCTCTTGGGCCGTCTTGGGCGCCTCTTGGGCCATCCTGGGGCCCTCCTGTGCCTTCCTGGGGCCTTTTTGGGCCGTCTTAAGGCCCCCGTGGGCCGTCTTGGGGCCATCTTGGGGGCGTCTGGGGCCGTCTTGGCTCGGTCTTGGGGGCCCCTGAGCGTCGGAACCTAGACAAGTGGAGAACCCCAAAAACATTGAAACACTTGTGGAGCATCCACGATTTTGGGCACTCGGGGCCCTCTTGGGAAGGCGCCTGGGCATCTCTTGGGGTGTCTCGAAAGCCTCTTGGAGCGTCTTGGGACCATCTTGGTCATCTTGGACCGATCGTTCGGCGACTCGGGGCCCTATTGGGCCGTCTTGGGGGCCTCTTGGGGCCCTCCTGGGCCGTGGCCTTCTTGGGCCCCAGAAGTCATGCAGGAGGACGCCGGGGAGCCCAGGAGAGCAGCGGGAAGCCCCGAGAGATTTGGCAATTTGGGGTCCCGGCCCTGAAAGGACTCCGCAGCATTGAGGACTGAGGCTCGATGGATTAGGCAAAGGACCTGATGACACGCCCACCCCGTGCCCAGCGGCACAGTGGCGAATTGAGGTGTGTGTGTGTGTGTGTGGAAATCATCGCCGAGGCCATGACCCATGGCATCCTCCAGACTTATGGTGTCTTTTCCTCCTCCTCCTCCTTCTTTCAGATCGTTCCTTGGCCTCCCCTCGTCCGCGCGCATGCCTCGGGCCATGATGCGATATGCCCCCTCGTCGGCGCACCCGATCCTTCGCTCTTGCTTGGCCCTTCCCCCCCCCGGGTGCGCTCCCCTTCCCTCGCTGTCGCCTTTTTGGGGGGGCCGCCTCGGGGTCAGTCGTCGCCACGGCTGAGTACGCCTCCAGGCCTGGGCGGATCGCGCCTTTCGGAAAGGTCTGGGGGAGTAGCGGTCACGGGATAGCTCTGATACCCTTAGCCCCTTCCCCCCTCTACCCTCCCAGCCCCCCGGACACTTCCTTTTCCTCCCCTCCCGCCCCACCTTTCCCCGCCCCCCCCTTCACCCCCTCCGCCTTGCGAGGCACTGGCCGCAAAGGTCAGCCCGATATGGGGGCATTGCGTGTCCCCGCCTGTCTTATCTCGTAGCCATGCCCGGGGTCAGCATGTGTCTGACCTTCCCGTGCCAGGTTCAGCGCAGCAGCGCCGCCTCGCCTTTCCCCCCCTCGCTCATTTGACGCGCTTCCCCTCGCATCCGTCCATCACGCCTCCTCCTCCAGCCCTTTCGGCCTGGGCGTTTTGTCTGGGATTGCCATCGTGCGCTTCGAAGGGGCTCCCGCTGGCGAGCCACGCATGGCTCAGCGGCACCCGCCGTGGCCCTGCGGCAACTGCGCCAGGCTCTATGGCACTGCTTTGGCGAGCTACGGGTTCAGGACCTCGTGCCTGCGGTGCGGCAAGCCGGCGCCCAGGACGGCGCGTGAAAGGAATGGGCAGGTTGGACACGTGCATCAACCGCCGTGGTGCAAGAGTGCGAACATTGCATGTTGGCAGCGAGGGGCAGGATGCAAGCTTGAGCGGCCCAACAGGTGGGCAGTGGGGCCACCGATGTTGGGGGATAACAAGCAACCCGGCACGAACAACGAGAACAGCGACAACAGCAACGGGGTGGAGTACGACCCGAAGATTGCCAAGACCATGTTGGAGAGTATGGCCAACGCATTCGGTGACGGCATGACCAAGTGGCCCGACGGTTGCAAGGACATTGTTGCGTGCTGGGGCAAGGTGGACTCCGAAGCCAAGGTACGTCGGCGTTCCAGTTCGGGCAGCGGGGGTAGGACTTCTACAAAAAGTCCGACAACGCGCGGGAGCGTTTACAGGAGCAGCATCTCGAATCGCAAGAAGCCAAGCGAGCTAGATATGCTGAACAGTTTATTGTCGCCAACCAAAATGAGCGGAGGAAGAGGAACAAGGAGACAATCTGAAGCATTCGTGCGAGAAGCTGCTGAAAACAAAAGGCATGTTCCCGTGGGCAATCCTGCGGTGGCGCTGTGAGGCAAGGTCGCCCACATCCAGAAGAAGATCGATAGCGAGAACATCCCTAGCTGTTTCGAAGAACCCTCCCGAATGCTACAGCAAGCGCTGGAAGCCCTCGAGCAGCAGCGCATCGACAAAGTGGAAACGACGCAATCGAAGGAAGGCGGGCCAGCGCACAACGTGGTCTCTGAGAGCGTTCGTTATCTTGGCGATGCTATGCTGGGCCACGTTGGTATCCATGTGCCCGACGAGGAGGACTACGAACACACATTCCTTCAGGCTTGGCTCGAGCTCGATGGAGCCGACGACTAGGACGAGCGCAAGCGGATCAAGACTGCCAGGGTGCAACTTCTCGAGCCCTTCGCTGTGGCCAATGCCGCCGCTGCAGCAAAGCGGAGAATGGTCCAGCCCCCAGCTCCAGTTAAAGTAGGTGGCAAGTGAGTCGACTGTGAATATTGCAGGTGGGGTCCGGGGTCAATCGGGATGGTATATTGTTTTGGCGATCAGCCACTTGCACGAAGAAGTCAAACAATGGCAGCATGTCCTACGAGGTGGGTGGCAGGCAACTACCACGCAGTACAGTCAACAACCCTAATAAGCACGCGCGACTTTGCTCAGGGTACCCTTGCGTCCTTGCTCTTCCTTGCTCTTGCGTCCTCGGGGTTTTCGCCGTCCGCCACCCCAAAAATCCCAGCTTCGGCTTCCAAGGGTCTTGCGTCCTGACCGCGCGTCCTTACTAGGGTTTTTGATTGCATGTGATCAAGGTGCAGGGTGTTCTGACGGGAAGTGGACATATCGGTGGCAGTGCTGAATCGCTCCGCGCGGCTGCCGACGGGCAGGTGGCCGATGCAGATGCCGAGGGCAGTCCGCTCTATGGGGGGGGTTATTGGCGAGTGGAAAGCAGCCCCCGTGGAGGTGTGCAGAGGGTGCGCTGTCGCCCGGGGAGCTGATCATCAGGCAAGCAGCAGCGCTGAATCCCTGGGCCAGGCTGCCGACGGGCAGGCGGTCGATGCCCTTGCCCGGGGTGCTCTGTTCCACCGGGCCTTTGACGAGTGGGTCGCAGCCCCCGAGGAGGTGTGCAAAGGAGGCGGTGCTGCAGGCAATGCGTCGACTACACCGACTGGAGCGAGTCCGTCTGTGGAGGAGACGCGCGCGAGAGGCAGGCCCAGCAGGGCCATGGCCGAGTTAGGGGAGTTCGCGAGGAAGCTGAGACCCAAGGTCTGCGGCGAAGCTGGACCTCAGCGAGGTGGGCTGGAGACTCGCGTACGCCAGTCTCGTGGAGACGGTTCGAGTACCGTTCGAGAGTGGAGCTTTGCCGCTGCCATCAACGCTGCTGCGCAGAGGGAAGCAGCTAAGATGGCATTGGTTGGCAATGAGGCGCGCGAGTCGCCCCCCAACGCGGACGGGGTCCTATTCCAGGAACGAAAGTTGCTGATTGAGGTGGTAGGTGACGCTGCGCTGCGGCTCCACCATCAGGGCTGGAATGGTCGTTTGCCTCCAGCTCGCAAACAGACACCGCGGGCTGCCAGCCCGGGCGTGACAACGGGTGCGCGACATGACTTAGCCTCTACGTGACCGCCTGACTTTGGAGGAATGACACCACCAGCTCGGAGATGGATTGCGCAGCGTGCGGATGGCATGTTGCCAGGTGGTTTCAGTGTTGCCTCAATCGGCCTAGTCTCTGAACGCAAGATCATGGAGCTGGAGGGCGCCAACAAACGCATGCTCATGACGTGCATGGAGCAGCTCAAAAGAACTGGCAGGCCCTTTTACCGTCGGAGGTGACTGGAACATGACCTCTTCTGAGTTCGAGGACATCCAAGTGGCGCAGCACGTTGCCGCGATGCTCGCTGCGCCAGGTTAGTGGACATGTTCGTGTGGGAAGGGCGGGCGTCAGGTTATTTCGTCGTCAGCAAGCGCTTCAAGGGCCTTGCCGCGTGGGTCGACAGGATCGATGGGCTCTCACTGCTGCGCTGGGGGGGGGGGGGGGTCCGCTTGGAGCTGAGCGCTGGACCTGGTGCCGCACATGGGCAGCAGCTCGAAATGCCGAAGACTTCCCCGAGGGAGTGTCCAGCAGGAGTGCCCTGACCTCCGCCGTCGCATCAGTGCATCCGTGGAGAGTTCGCGCACGTTCGAGACCAGGGAGACTTGCCGCGGTGCTGCGCTGAGTGGCAGAGGTTAGCTGAACAGGAGTTGGCGGATCGTTGCAGGTCGCGCAAAGCTTTTCAAGGTCGCGGGGGGAAGCCATGGCCACGTGCCAAGTTGGTGGCGGCAAGTTCCAGGGCACGGCGCTGAAGGCAGCACTGCGTCGCGGATATGGCGGTGAGCTTTAACGGCCATGGTGGATGTCATGCGTGTTTTGGCGAGAGATTGGGATCAGCACTGCGAGCTCGTGGATGGCAGGTGCAACGCCGTGAGGAACCTGTATCGCATGAAGGTGGACATGGGGCCGCAATTGGACATCTGGTGTTAAAGATGCGGTTGTGGGTTTTCGTGGGCAGAGGGCGGCCGTAAGGGTGCAAACTGGAGCGCTGCTATGGAAGCGATCAGGATCGTGGATTATGTTGCCGTGGGCAGGGCGCGACAGTGTAGGGCGTTAGGTTAGTCGCTGGGGCTGTTAGGGGCGGGGGCAAGGAAGCGCGCATTATGGTCGAAGATATTGCATCCTGGCAGCAATCAGACATCAATCCTGCGCTTGGGATCCAATCTCGCGCCTCCAATTCGAACGCTGGCCTGGCGGAATGGGAGAAGATGCGGCGAGCATGCGACGGAGGGAAGAGCTGGTGCAAGGCTGCGAATAATAATGCCTGCCGGCGGGGTGCAGATGCAGGATGCGGAGCACATCAGGAAAGTGGCCGGGTTTTTTATGCGTGGCGCGATTTCGGGGGTGGACGACGCTGGGCCGCGCAACGTGCGCTGTTATCAGATGGCTCGCTCGAGGCGTTCGCTGACGCCGGGGGGGTAGCGGAAGCCAGGGGTGAATTGCCGCCTCAGATGACCACCGCCATCATGCCCAGGCTGCCCGCGCCAGAAGGTGGCCATCGACACATTCGCATACTCGCAGACACTCTGACGATCTACAACAAGTGCCGCAAGTGGGACCTGCGAGTGGCTCGGGGCGAACGTCACAGGTCATGGCCACGCGATCGCAGGGGGGGCTCTGAGCAGGCGGTTTGGACCCAATCCGTCATGGCTGAAGCAGGTTTGGCTCTAAAGAGACACGCGGCCACGGCCGCGCTGGCTCTCGAGAAGGCCTTCGAGAAGATGCCGCGCGCGAAGTCTTGGGAGGTTGGGCGCAGAAACGGGTTGAAGCGCTTGCGGAGCGCATTGCTTCTCAAGTCGTACACGGGAAGCAGGGCGATCAGATTTGGTCATTTTGCTTCTGATTTAGGCATGACGAACAATGGCGCCACTGCTGGGTGCCACCGCAATGGTGATGCTATACACGCTTGGGGTTTACGGGCAACTATGCACGGCGTGGCTTTTTTTCCATCATTGCGCAGGTCATGATGGTTGCGCCCTAAAAACAGGTTCTCACGATCAAGTTCTGAGCGCCACCGCCCCAGCGGCCAGACGGTTACGCGCTGCGTTAATGGGCCCAGGGTTGGAGTTCAGCCCAAACAGAGGTCATGATATTGCCACGTCGCCCCAGCTCGAGAGAGAGAGAGAGAGAGAAAGATAGTCATTGCGCTCAAGAAGCATGAGTCCAGGCGGCACAGAGCAGCACGGCAATTGGGACATCACCGCTCCATGGGGCGTGGCGCGACAGGGCTGGCGCAGCGATCGTGTGCCGAAGAGACACCCAGGAGGATTGCTAGACGTCGTCGGCTGGCGCTTGGGGGTAGGCAGTTGGGCAGATTATGTCGCGGTGGTGGCTTGGGTCCAGTGGCGTGCGCGATCTCGGCGTCAGGTATGAGTGACTGACTTGCGACGGCAAGAGGGAGATGCTGCGCCGTGGAGGTTCAGCTGGCAAACTGTCCAAGAGCGGACCCCACCTTTGATGCGGATGAGTGTTCTCTGGTGCACTGGTTGCGGAATCTACGCGGGAAGTGGGCACGGCGCCAAGCAATGGCTCTGGCGTTCATGCACGTGCGGAATCAAATCCAGTCCTGGCACGGAGTTCGAGGGCCAGCAGGTGCCGTCACCCTGGCCTTGAGAACATTGTGGTGGCAAGCTATTTCTTGGGATCGCTGGATGACTGAGCGCCGGGTGGCGCTGGGCTTCCATAGTTCGGGGCCGCTTGCGCTCAAGAAGATCATCAATCGAGATGCCCAAAGGCGTTTTATGGCCGAGATCCCCAGAAGTCGCGGCATGGATGGCCCCGTGGGCCCACCGTTGTTGCAGCCCGCCAGTGACCTCATCAGTGCTCGGTATCCCCGCCGCGATCCTAGTGCTGGATTGGTGAGGACTAGGCTATTGGTGGATTTTCTTAGCAGGCGCGTTTTTTGTTGACCAGGGTGGCGAGCGGCCCGATTTGCGTGTCATGTGGAGTTGAGGGTGATACGGACATTCGTCGGATGGACTTCCTCGTGCGGCTGGCGCGCGGTGGAGTGGCAGAATTGGACGGCAGGGGGGAGTGGGTTGCTGTTGTGGGGCGGGCGCGATCACGGGCAGGAGCGCCCCATCACCGCGCTCACGCGCATGGGGGCAATGCCCGATCCCACCTTCGAGTCGCCCTTGCCGACCACAGATGGCATCATCAACTGGCACGTGTGCGCAGTCAGCGGGCTCATCAGTGGTGCGGTGTGTAGCGATGGCAGCTGCGTGCGGCCACAATGCGAATGTTGGGCTTGTGCTGGCTGGTCCTGTGCCATGATAAATGGAATAGGTGATGCGGTTGTGGCTGCGTCGGGGCCCGTGCCATGCCCGTGGCAGTCATCGGGAGCTGGGAAAGTCTGGGCCGTCGTCACAGCACTGACGCATTAGCTGGACGAGCGAATCGCGATTGGGACGGGCTACGACGACCTCAGGCAGGCATGGGCGGGGTGATACCTCACTTCCGTTTGCATTTCGAAGCATCAGCGCATGGAGTTGCGGCCGAATGCATGGGACGTCGTGATCGACATGGTCTGGGTTCGCACGCGCATGGCGAGGGCGCAGGCCAGCAGCCGCGGCGCGGACGTCTCCCATGGGAGGTGAAACTGCGTTGCGGACACGCATGCGGGGCAGGGTGCCGCCCGCCACCCTCGCCAGCGGCCGCTCGAGAAGCTGCGGGGACTCAGGGGGGCGGCAGCCCCGCTGTTCCTGAGGTGCGTCCTTCGCATCCTCGGGATGCGCCAGAAAGAGGGGTTGAATGATGTGCAGCAAGTGGGTGCGGGAAGGCCTGTGCGTGGCCCTAGTCTAGTCCTATGTGAAGACGGAGACCACCGAATGCAGCGCTTCCGGGGGCGATGGGGCTGCGGCAGGTGCGGAGGTAGCGGAGCTCGTCGTCGGGACCTGGCCCGCGTTCCGTGCTCGGGGGGCCCCACGGGGCTCGTGAAGCGCACCCGTCCCGCAAGTTCTGCCGGACTGGTCCCATGGTTTGGCGTCTTCAATGCGCTGCTAGGTGCGTTTCTAAGGCATGCTTAATTTCCAAACCTTGTCTTGGGAGCTTGCCCCTGGGTTCCGCGAGGCACTTCAAGCGTATGTGCCTCATCCGGGGGCGTTATCCGTCAGGTGAGAAGGTGGGGAATGGTTCCAAGAAGCCTGTGCCCATCCTCGCTCGAGGCGTTGCGAGGGGGGCGGGGGATCTCGGCCGTCGCTGGCCCGAACCAGCACGCACCACCTCTCACCGCGGAAACTGCGACATCGATCAGGGATTTAGGGGCGTGCTCCGAATTTGTCTGGGTGATGGTGGGGTCGTGGGTCGGGTCTTGCGCTGGGGCTGCCCCAAAGCAGCTCTCGCCCTGCCCTGCCCACCTTTGTTTCTTCTCGTGCGTATCAGGCCAGAGCCTGCAAGCAGCATCCTTCAACGCAGGGACAGCGGCACGATCGGGCATCTAGGGGCCTGCTCCATTTTTGCCTGGGCGGCCACAAGGACCCGCGCAGCCTGTCAGTGCAGAAACGCTCGAGGCGATCGGTTGCGGTCGTCTCTCCCCGTCATTATGATTATCGATTTGGCCCGGTGTATATTTCTCGGTGCGCCTCGTCGTCATCCAGAGTTTCCAGAGCCTCCTCCTCCTCCTCCTCCTCCTCCTTCCTCGCTTGCCTCGTTCCATCTGTTTGTCAATATTTTCTCGGCTCCCCTGTTTCCTCCTTCTCGGATCTCATCGCACATCGCTGTTCCCACCGGTCCTCCGCATTCCGGCTCCGCGCTTCTCCACGCTGGTTCTCCTCCGTCCGTCCGATTTTGTGTTTCTTCATTTGTTCGCCTGCTCGCCTCCCGCCCCCGCAACCCCAGAACACTTCTGCAGCCGAGATCCCCAGGGTCGTCATAACGCCCTCAAACACTTCGTCCCTCCGCTTCTCGCTACATCACGTTATCGTCAGTTTTCCCCTTCCCCTCTCATCACCTCCCCAGCGTCCTACTTCTAATTCGTATGTTTTGCATTCTCCTGATCCTGCTCCTCGTCCTCCTAATCCCTTGGGCCTCCTGGGGCCTTCTTCCTCCTCCCCCCCATAGCCGGAAATATGCACCATCCTGCTTCGTTTCTCGAGACGCGTCCAGCCGTGGCTGCGACCGGCAGGACGAAGGAAGAGGCAGACGGGGAGGTTCCCCACCCTGACCTTCAGGAGTGCAATCAAATACCACAGGACCTTTCATTTCAGATCCTTGTCGAAGGTTATTAGCAGTTTATATAGCCGATCGGTCTGGAGGACTGCTCTTTCGGCACTCGGAGGGTCAGGGCAAAGCTCCCCAGCGGTCCCCTGAAGATCCCCCGAAGCCTCTGGACATCTTCCGGCACGTCTTTCGCCGTCTTTTGCCGGTTTCCAGAACCCACGTTGGCGAAAGAGGAGCAGAGGGTGGCACACCTTCGAACACACGTTGACGTAAAATATTGGTATGTCAACAAATTCCGGGCGTGGCACACCTGGAGATTGGAAAAGTCCAGGGGCCCTTTGTTGAGGTGCACCATGCCTGGAGAGGTACAGCACCCGCAGACGTCTCCAGGGCTGCCGCACTTTTCTCCTGGCATGGCACAGCTGGTGCGGTGCTGTCTGCGTTAAGTTCGCCGGGAGTCTGGCCGTGGCGGCGCAGCTTGTCAAGAGCCTCGCACCTCTGACCTCAATACTCCTCCTGCTGCCTGCCCTTCCGCTCCGCTCCCCCGACAGGTACGGCGCAGCACCGGCTCCTCGCGCCGCGAGCAGGCCTCGCGGATGCTCGCGCGCGCGGCGGCCAAGCTGCACAGTCCGCGGTTGTCCAACCTGGCCACGCGCGCGGGGCCCTCGGAAGCCTCGCCTGCCGTCGCCGCCGCCGTCGTGCCGTCGTCACCGCCGTCGACAGTTGTTTTTTTGGAACCGCGGGACATAACGCGCGTCATGCCCGCCCCCCACACAACGTCCCCTCCTCCCCATAGATTATTTCATGCTTTCCGCCGCGTGATGCCCACGGACATATTGTGAAGCTCACGCACTATTGTGGCGTTCGCGGGCACAACAACTACCTATACGATCACCCTTCGGGTGAGAAGGCGTGGGGGGGGGGCGAGGGGGGGAACCAACCTCTGACTCAATCGATCTCACTATCGACCTCGCTCAACGGGACACCACGGGACACTTGTCGATCTCACTATCGATCTCACTCAACGGGACCACGGGACACCACGGGCCACCACGAGACACCGCGGGACACCGCGGGACACCTTTCGATCTCATTATCGGTTTCACCATCGATCTCACTATCGATCTCACTCAACGGGGCACCTCGGGACACCACATCAATCTCACTATCCATCTCACTATCCATCTCACGCAACGGGACACCACGGGACACCACGGGACACTTGTCGATCCCATTATCGATCTCATGACCGAATCCACTTTTTGGGACACCACGTGACACCTCGGGGCACCACATCGATCTCACTAGCGATCTCATTATCGATCTCACTATCGATCTCACTCAACGGGACACCACGGGACACCGCGGGACACCACGGGACACCGCTAGGGCCACCGCCGGACGGACGGACGAACGGACGGACGTAGGAGAAACATTTGTCTTATCTTCGCCCTAGCACGGCGAACACCGCGGGACACTGCTAGGGCCACCGCTGGACGGACGGACGGACGGACGGACGGAGGAGAAACATTTGTCTTGACTTCGCCCTAGCCACGGCGGGTTCATTCCTCTTGCGCGCCCACGCAGCTTATCCTCGCCCGCACGCACGACACGAACGAAACGAATCGATCTCCCGGCTGGGGGTCTCCGTTCCACTGCGATCTCACCCTCTAACCTCCGATGGCCACAGGCGTAGACGCTGTGGTAGTGGCGTTCCTAGGCGTGTGCGGTGCCCACAGGCCCACAGGTAGTGCTCGTAGGCGTATTGCGACGCTCGTGCGCAGTTGGGGTACTGGCAAGTGCCGGAGTGTTGCCGTGCCTACGCGTGGTAGTTGTATGAGATTGTGATGGTGGGAACGATTGGTTTACCCTCGCCGTGCGGTCGTGAGACGAACATTGTGCTGCGCACCTTACATCGAGGGGGACTCGAGTACGGATCGTCACCATCAACCCACCTTTGAGTGGCTTTTTCTGCCCCCCTCCGCGGCCGCCCCCTCTGCCCTCGCTCTTGCACGCTGGCGAATTCGCTTCTCGGTGCCCCCGTGTAGCTCCATCGCTGGTGCAGCCGACTCTGCCTCGCCGCCGACGAAAAAAGTGTTCACCTGAACCTCCCTTCTCCGCTCTCCCCCCCGCCCTTCTCCATCCATCCCGCTTCCTCCATCCATGGTCCCTCTTCCTCCTTTCTCTCTCGACCGTTGTGCACCAGAGCATCATGTCGAATACATGCAAGGCGTCACCAGAGTGTAAGCAACCATATCGCTCAGCCACCTCTTGCTACCTCCCTCAGTCATACATCCGTCCTCGCTTTTCCCTCCCCCCTCCACTGTGATGTACACCCTGGTGCTTGCAGGCACCGTGCTGGTGCTCGCTGGCCACTTTGGCGCACACAGGCGCCGCACAGTAACGCGGAGGCACAGCGTGGCGCAGCAACCACACCAGCACCAGTTGGCAAGCGTAGATAGCTTGACACCCGCAGGCTCACAGGCGTATTGATCGCGCTCGCAGGCATAGCGCTTTGCTCGAAGGCTATTGTAAGATGTGGAGGGTCCATTGTGCTTGCATGCGTGCGGTGCGCAGAGGCATGTGTGGAGTTGCCCATTACCAGATCGTTGTCGTCTTCGTCCGCGTCGTGTCCGCGATGAGGGGGTATGACGCAACCTTGTCGCGCCTAGTGGTGCGTTGCTGAGGGTTCACGCTCGTTGCGTCACCCAATGTGTCGTTGTGCGCGCTGGCATGGTGCAACGACGACGACGTCGTCGTCGTCGTCGTTCGGTGCTCGTCCGCAGAGAGGGGCGATAGCGCACCCCCAGCTCGCCTTGGGGTGTGTCGCATTATTCCCACCCACCCCAAACGCGCACTACCCCCAAGAATATAGAAACGCCCTGGGCGTGGTCGTCATCGCCCTCGGAAGCCGCTGGCGCCGTCGCCTTCGTTGTCGTCGCCGTGGCTGTCGTCGCCGTCGTGGTCTCCCGTTCGGCACGAGAGGGAAGGAGATGATGGGGGAGGATGAGGGCAAGGGAGGATGGCCAGCAGGTGGAAGAGGAGGAGGAGGAGGAGGAGGAGGAGGAGGAGAAGGTGGACGGGGAGGCAGGAGGAAGAGGAGGAGGAGGAGGATAGCCATGAGGAAGCAAAGCCGAGGACGAGTACGTCGGGTAGGGCAATGGACAGGAAAAGAGCAGCTGGGTAGACGTCACTTCGCCCCTCCCTTTCTCAGATCACTCCATCTGTCAATCCTCCCCCTGCACACACACACACACACTCTCGCTCGCTTCTGTCCCCCCGTCATTCCTCTCTACCTCTCTCTTCATCCCCCATTCCCGGAACTCCCCGTGCGTCCCACCTGCCTCTTCGCCGCTTCCCTTCCCCTCCCCCTCTCGCTCGATCCCTCCATCTCGCCTTCTCTCTGGCGCGCCCTCCCAGCCATCCATCCCCCCTGCTGTGCACCGTTGACTATCGCGCGCGGGAAGGGGCAGCAGCCGGAAAATAAGGAGGACAAACATGGGAAGAGGAGGATGAAGAGGGGAGGAAGAGGATAATGAGGATCATGCCATAACCTCCGCAGGAGCGGGTAGGTGTGAGGGGCTGGTCTGTGCCCTTTGGAATTAGCAGCTTAGCCATCGGCTGTCAAGAAGCCACCAATAACGAACGAAGATTCAAGCCCGCAACGGGGACGCGTCAAGACGAGTAGGCTTTTGCACGTTTTCCTGCGCGTGGTGGGAGGGTGAGTTTTCGCCCCCTCGCAGTCGCTCGGCTCTCAGGTGAAGCTGGACGCGTTCGAGCGCGTGAAGAAGGCGATCGACGATATGGTGGCCTCCCTGCTCGAGGACTTCGCGACCCCACTCGCCATAAAGAGTACGGGTGAAACACTAGCTCTCCTGCACACGTGTCCTGGAGGTGTTCCTAGCGTCGGCATCCCGTGCTCCTTCTCCGGTTCCAGCACCGTCAACAATTTACACAGGGCAAACAGCTCGGCACGACCAGAATGGGTACGGAAAAATGCGCACAAAGACCGACAGCAATTCCTGTCCGTTTGAACAGGACTCGTTGCATGCGTCGCTGAGATCGCTGCCCATTTAGGACGGAAGGCTAGCTGCTGTCCAACAGTGGCCGCTGACGGGTTTGGTTGTTGTTGGACATGGTACCCGTGTTCTCCGCACCCATGTCGGGCGTCCAGAACAGCTGGATTCGTGGAAGGCATATGGGATCCTTCCTCGGCGATTTTTCGTTGTTGGCGACCTCGAACCTCGGGGTATGGGGAAGGACGGGCCGCCAGACTAACAACAGCGAAGTACATGTGGTTCGCTCAAGCCGCTCCCTCCGAGGTCGACGTTGATGGTGGTCGGGGGATTGGTACGCATTAGTTCGAAGCAGAGGTTCCTCCACGTGCATCTGTCTGTCTTGCGTTTTCCCCCACGGCCCGCCGCCCGAACGCGATGAATGCCGCAACGCCAGGACGATGCCGACGTGAAGCGAGGCACCCTCACTTTCCCCACGCCGAACGGCAATGGTGGTCGAGCGACGATCCGAGCGCCCACGCGGGCCCGTGCTTGTGGCTTGTGGCGTTCCCTTGCAGGCGCCTCTGCAGCAGCACTGCATCAATGTCTGCATAGACGTCTGAACTTACTTCTTCGTCTGAAGCTCTCGGACGTGCGTGTGTGAAGATGGGGTACAGGCTCGGGGGCGCCGCATATATATATATATATATATGTATATATACATATATATATATGTATATATGCATGGTCGCCCCCTATGATCATACCTATTCGTCTCTCGCGCGACCGCCGATCGATATCTTCGCTCTCCGTTTCCTTCTCCTGTCCCTCCCTGCCACTCCTCTTCCTCCTCCTCCTGCTCCTCCTCATCGGAGTCTTTGAACTCGCCAAAACCAAAGAACACCTACAAACAAACAACAAAAACAATCAAACACAAAAACAACAACTATGATTTCGGGAGAACTTCTGGGGAGGGGGCCGGCCAAGGTTCTGCCGAAATCATAGTTGTTTTGGTGTTTTTGTTTTTTGTTGTTGTTTTCTGGAGGGTTTTCACTGGCGTTCGGCCTCCACAGAAGGATTCCTGTTGAAATCCTCTGCGACAGGCGATTCCCATTGAGATCTTCTGCTCCTCCTCACCCTCCTCCTGCTCCTCCTCACCCTCCTCATCCTGCTCGCGTCGAGGCGTTACTCACAAATCTAGTTGTGAACGCAGCTGCACAACTAGTTTTGTGAGCAACCTCCCGCTACGAGACACTACTCGCAAAACTAATTGTGAACGCCGCTCCATCACTAGTTTGGTGAGTAATGAGCTCCTTCTCGTCATCGTCATGCTCCTCACTCTCCTCTTCTTCCTCCTCCTGCTCCTCCTGCTCCTCTCCCCTCCTGCTCCTCCTTCTCCTTTTCATTATGCCCCCTCCTCTCAGATTCGAGGCGATACTCACAAATCTAGTTGTGAACGCAGCTGCACACTTAGTTTTGCGAGCAATCTCCAGGTACGAAACACTACTCGCAAAACTACGTGTGAACGCCGCTCCACAACTAGTTTGGTGAGTAATGAGTTCCTCCACGCGTTCGTCATGCTCCTCACTCTCCGCTTCTTCCTCCTCCTCCTGCTCCTCCTGCTCCTCTCCCCTCCTGCTCCTCCTTCTCTTCTTCATGCTGCCCCCTCCTCTCCGTTTCGAGGCGATACTCACAAATCTGCTTGTGAACTCGGCCACAACACTAGTTTTGCGAGCAACCTCCCGCTACGAGACACTACTCGCAAGACTATGTGTGAACGCCGCTCCACAACTAGTTTTGTGAGTAATGAGTTCCCCCTTGGCATCGTCATTCTCATCACCCTCCTCTTCTTCCTCCTTTTGCTCCTCCTGCTCCTCCTGCTCTTCTTCATTCTGCCCCTTCCTCTCCGCTTCGAGGCGTTGCAAATCTAGTTGTGAACGCAGCTGCACCACTAGTTTTGTGAGTAATGAGTTTCTCCCCACCTTCGTCGTGATCATTGCCCTGATCTTCCTCTTCTTCCTGCTCCTCCTGCACCTCATGCTCCTCCTGCTCCTTATCGTTATGCCTCCTCCTCTCCGCTTCGAGGCGTTACTCGCAACTCTAGTTGTGAACATACTTGCACAGCTAGGTTTGCGAGTAACCTGCCGCTTCGAGATATTACTCACAAAACTAATTGCGACCGCCGCTCCACAACTAGATCCATCGTCTTCGTCATGCTCCTCACCCTCCTCATCTTCCTCTTCTTCCTGCTCCTCCTGCGCCTCCTGCTCCTCTTCATTATGTCCCCTACTTTCCTCGTCCTCTTCTTCCTCCTCCTCCTGCTCCTCCTGCTCTTCTCCATTCTGCCCCCTTCTCTCCGCTTCGAGGCGTTACTCACAAATGTAGTTGTGAACTCAGCTGCGCACTTAGTTTTGAGAGCAACCTCCCGCTACGAGACACAACTCGCAAACCTATGTGTGAACGCCGCTCCACAACTAGTGTTGTGCGAAACACGTTCCGCCTCACAATTGTCATTCTCCTCGCCCTCCTGTGTTTCCTCCTTTACCTCCTCTTTCTCCACCACCTCCTCCTCCTCCATCTTCTCTTCCGCCAGTTCAACCTGCCCGCTCCTCTCCGCCGCCAGGCGTTACTCACGCATGTAGTTTCGAACGCAGCTCCGCAAGTGGTTTTGTGAGTCATGTGTTGGCCATTGCCTTCTTGATGCTCCCCATCATCCTCGTCTTCCTCCTCCAGGTCCTCCTCCTCCTCCATTCCCCCCTGAAATCCTTTCTCCTCGCCAGTCATCCTGCCCCCTCTCAAACGAGTTCTAATGGAACCCTTGACACATAGCAGAATGAGACGGCTGAGACGGAGGTGGAAGATGAGACGAACGAGGAGAAGGTTCTTATTGAAAACCGCCACAACAGGAGTCTTGGTGAAACCCTCCACAGCAGGATTCCGAGTGAAACTCTTCACAAGAAGGAGAAGTAGGCGGATAAGGAGGGGGTAAGGAACCATGAGGCGGATTAGGAGGAGGAAGGAGGACATCTTCCACAGAAAGATTTCTATCCTCCACATAAGGATTCCAACTGAAATCATCAACATAAGGATTCGCGTTGAAACCCTTCACAACAAGGAGACTTATGCGGATGATAAGGAACATAAGGAGGAGTATGAGGCGGATGAGGAGGAAGAGGGGGAGGAGGAGGAGGAGGAGGAGGAGGAGGGATAATAACCTCCACAAAACGATTCCCTGTGATCGGTTGCAACGCAATCGATTGGGTTGTAATGCGTTGTCATCGATTGAAGCCGCTTCGCGTTGAAGTGCTTCGAATGCAATCGACTAGGTTGCGTCTGACAACGTAGCAACACATAATCAAGAAGAGCAGGAGGAGGAAGGGGGAGGAACGACTGGAGGGATTAAGGGAGCATGTGTATGACAGGAGGAGGACAGGGATGAGAACGAGGAGGAGAAGGAAGACCAGAGGGATCTGGATAGGGGTAAAGGAGGAGAAATGATGAGGGGAGAGGATGGAGAGGGAGAGGAGGAGGAGGAGGACGAGGATGGGGGGCAGGATGCTTAGGATGAGGAGAACGAAGGCCACATGTATGATCATAAGGGGGGCGAGCACATACATATATATATATATATATACACATCTATGTGTATATATATATACAGGTGCGCACGACATGTACATGGAGGGAGGGAGTGGTTGAGTCTCAAGTCAGTGAGGGGCCTGGGGAGATGGAGGAGCATAGAGGGCAGGAGGTGGGATGATAGGGGGAGCCAAGAGTGATGAGAGGATGCGGGGGGCTCGTGATGAGGGCGGAGCGTACGAAGAAGACTTCAAAGACGTGCAATGCATGACTCGGTATGTAGGGCGCGACATGGCGCAGATTCCACGACAGTGCTTGCACGTGGTGGTTCTGAAATCTTTCTTGAGTAGCGGTCTGGCGGCTCCGTGGTGGCCGTCGCCGCTTCGTCACCCTCCGTCGTTTAGGCTTGCGTGGTGGTCTGGCGGCTCCGTAGTCGCCGTCGCCGCCCCGTTGCCCCCCTTGCCGTGACAATCGCATTGCTATGCATTGCGTTGCATTGGTTTGCGTTGCTTCACTTTGTTATCGCGTTTCGTAGCTTTGCCTCGTATTGCGTTGCAGTGGTTTGCAGTGCTTTGCATTGCTTTGAATTGCATTGCGTTGCATTGTCGTGTTGTGCGATCTCGTTGCGTTGTGATGTATTGCCTTGCCTTGCGTCGCATGGTGTTGCCGTGTACTGCATCGATGTGTATTGGTTTGCCGTGTTCTGCGTGGCAGTGCACTACTTCGCATTGTTCTTGCGTTGCGTTGCCTTGGTTTTCATTGCTCTGCACTGCATTGCTGTGCAGTGCGCCGCATTGATGTTCGTTGATGTGCATTGCTGTTAACCGCTCCGCATCGCGTTGCACTGCTTTGCATTGCTTCGTGCCGTATAGATTTCACCATCTGGATTAGTTCGTCTTGATGGTATCATACATTTATTGCACCGCCAAGATTGCACCACTTTGTTTGCAAGGGCCCACGCTGGTTACCATCGACATACATACACACACAAATACATATATATATATATATATATATATATATATATGTATATACATATGCACAAAAGAGGGACAGGGAGGAAGAGAGAGAGAGAGAGAGAGACAGAGAGAGAGAGAGACAGAGAGAGTTACCGAGATAACGACACAACGCGCACACGCAAACACACGCACACACACACACGCAAGACACGAGAGGGGGGACATGCATCAGAGAGGGCGAGCGGAGGGAGGACGCACCGGAGCAGGAGGCTAAATGATAATCCGGATGCGGCGGGTACGGAGGGCGAGGGCGGGGCGGCCGCGCGCACGGAGCGGGGCGAGGAGAGCTCGTGCTGCATTCGGCCGTAAGGCTGACGGGTGAGTTCTGCACGGGGGAGTGTTGACGGTGATCACGAGGAGGAGAGGAGCAGGACAGGGGTCGACCAAGACGTCGTTGTGGCAATGTCGTGGATAGTTTTCAGTTTCTCGCACCTTGCGTTGTGTTAGCAGGTTGCGACTTCGGATGTACGCCCACACGCTGTTTGGGGCCATCGGCTGGACGGTGTTCGTTTCACTTTGCCTCAAAACGATAACATAACAAAAAGACTAAACGCTGTGTTGGTCGACCCCTGGAGCAGGATGGGGGGTTATCGGGACAGTCGTTTCCTCGGGGAGCGTGTCCAAGCGAGACCCTTTCCTCAGGAGAAGGCCGCCGAGATCAAGCACAAGGACTTCTGCGTGAGCGGGTTCTCCGAGAACCAGCTGCAGACCGAGAAGAAGGAGCCCACGAGGGAGGAAAATGGGTGGAGGGGCCAACGAAGAGGCGGAGGCCAGGGAGGGAGATTGCCGAAGAACTGCTCCAAGAGGCCGTCGCCGCTGTGCCGCGGGGGGGGGAAGCTGGGTGGCATTAAGTGGCCCGCAGGAGGCTGGGTTGCGGATGAGACCACTTGGTTGCGCCTCGGGTCGTAGAGCGCAAGTGGAGGGATGGGGGGACGAGGCAGATGGATGTGGAAGAGATCGGGAAGAGGGTCGGGTCGGATTTGCCATTTTGTGTATGGGGACGGACGGGGGAGGAAGAGTAGGTGGATGAGGGGGGGAGGAGGAAAACGGAGCAGATGGAGAATGAGGGTAAGAAGGAGACGGATGAGCGAGGAAGAGGAGGAAGAGAAGACGATGAGGGGGAGGGAGGAGGAGGAGGAGGAGGAGGAGGAGGAGGAGGAGGAGGAGGAGGAGGAGGAGGAGGAGAAGGGGAATGGTCGGGGCGGGGGAGGGGCAGCTGGAGCAAGCAGGAACATTACACTTTCTAGCTTCTCCTGCCGTTGGAGGAGCGCGCGAAGCAGGAGCTGCTTGCCCAGATCGACACGCTCGAGAGCACCATCAAGGACCTCACCGATGCCATCGACTCCCTCAAGGCCCCATCGGCAAGGGCGTCCGCGGTCCGGTTGGTCTGGATACTTCGCAGTCGGCTGCATTTTGTCTGGGTCAGCTGGTCTCGGCCGGTCGTTGCGCCGCGGTGTTTTTTTTCGCTGATGTCGATGGGTCTGTTTCGATCCCAATGCCGAGGTGGTAGAGTTTCGACTTTGGTGTAGCCGTGGGCGTCAATCCGATTCGGCGGTGGCATGTGCGGCGCCAGCAGCTTCGCGCCGCGGGAGCCTTCTGAGTCGCCCGGGAGCTTCCGGGAACATCCCGAGGGCTTTTTGGGGGAGCTCGGCTTCTCCCTCATCCCGCCCTTCCCTCCACATCCTCCCTCCTTCCCCCCCCACACCTTCTCCTCCGCATCCTTCTCGTCCTCCTCCCTTCCCTCTTCTGACCCCTTCCCTCCCCCCCTCTCTCCCCCCCTCTCCCTGCTTGCAGCCTCTCTATCTGTCGCCTACCAATCCTGCCTTCCTCATCATCCTCCGCATCCTCCAGGCCGAGATCGCGGAGATGACGGTGCAGCTCAAGCATGCCGGGGAGGACCGCGAGAGGGAGAACCAGGCGTTCCATGCGACCATCGCAGACCAGCGTGAGACGCAGAAGGCGCAGGGAACGTCAGCGATCCGCCTCACCGATCCTGGCCCGCCGCCCATCCTGGGCCCAGGATCGGTGCGCCCACCTGACTGGGGCCAGGGGTGCCAGGACTCCGATCCTGGGACCCCCGTCAGCCACGCGCAGGGAAGGGGGGGGGTCAGTGGGAGGGGGGAGGGCTTCTTAGCAGCACCCTTGCTTCTTAGAGGGCGTGGTCCTTGTCTGTAGGTGTAAGGCCGGCGCCTTCTAAGAAGCAGCCTCCTGAGAAGCCTTCCCCCCTCGCCTTACCCCCTTGCGCGCGCCGCCAGCCCTGGATGGGCCCGGCCGGGATCGGTGAGGTGGACGGCGGACCCCCGAAGGTGCTCGGGGCGGCGCTGGAGGCCTTGAGGGCGTTCTACGGGAAGCAGGAGGCCCTCGTGCAGCAGGGGCAGGAGCCGCCGCCCGGCTTCGGCGAGTACAAGAAGAGCGCCGCCAGCGGCGGGGTGATCGACCTCATGCAGTCGATCATCGCGGATGCGAAGGCCATGGAGGACGCTGGCCCTGCCCAGCGGGGCCAGAGCAGACGGGGTCGCAGGTGTGCCCGCGATTCGGCCGGTTCGGCTGCTTCGCAGTCGGGGGCGATCGGTGACTTCGGTTCGGTCGGTTGCTGCGCAGCCGTGTCCCTCCACGCTGCTTTGGGTCCGTCGGCTTTGGCTTCGCCGTTTTGGTCGGCGTTCGATGTTGGTGTCGCCGTAGACGCGTATGGCTCGGATCGCCAGCGCGATCCAGCGCATGGTATTCTTCAACGTGTGATGCGTGAGAGTCATTTTAAGCATGAGTTGCTGTCGTCCCCGGATATTGGCGTCTGGTATTGCTCGTTCGTGGTCGCTACTTTGGCGCTACTGGGCGCCAGTAGAGACTAGCTGATAGTAGCCGATCGGCGTTGATTGGCGCTGACAGGACATTGAGAATCACCGATAGGCGCTCTTCAGGCTAAGCGAAATCTATCCTAAGAGCACTTCTCACACACAGTACGCACAGGTGTTCTTCATTGCGCCGATGCAGATGCATTGCCGATGCATCGGCGATGTGATGCCGTTCTCCGCTCTGGACCTGCCTGGGCGGCCCACGAGGACGAGACCGTCCGGTCCGAGGAGGATGCGCAGAAGGGGTACGAGGATTTCGTCCAGGAGACGAACGGCTCGATCGAGGCGAAAAAGCGGGAGATCATCAACAAGTCCGAGGAGAAGGCCAAGGCGGAAGCCGACCTGGTCGTGGCCAAAGAGAACAAGGACAAGGTACTGCTCGAGTTGGACCAGCTGTCGAACTACAACGCGCAGCTGCACTCGAGCTGCGACTTCATTATCAAGAACTTCGACCTGCGCCAGACGGCGCGCGACGAGGAGGCCGCGGGGGAAACAACAAAACGATACCGCTTTTCCGCGGTCTTCTGGGGCTCAAGATGGCCAGGATACTAAGGCGAATCTAGCCGTGGCGACTATTGCCCCCCCAGGACGTCCAAAAGTGCGAACATGAGGGCACGATGTTGGTATCGGGGCGTTTCCCTGTCCTGGAAATCGAGCCCCGCATCCCTCAACGACAGTGCCCCCTCGCCCCGTCCTTGGAGATCCGACAATGTTTCTGTCCATCCTGGGTTAGTGTCTGACCTTCCGCGGGCCCGAAGCGGGCTCCAGAAGCCGAACTTGGTGAAACATTTTTTTCCAAGCATCATAGGTATGCTCCTCTCTCAGGTCGAGGCCCTCCGGCAGGCGAAGGCCATCCTCTCCGGGGCCAAGTTCGAGGAGCTCCTGCAGACCGCCTGAGCACGGCCCTCTGCGTTGGTAGGTAGCGACCCCGAGCCGTCCAGAGAAAGAGTTGTTGGGACTCGTCGAGCTTGCGTGAGGGGGGGGCGATAGTTACATGAGGGGGTTGAAGAAAGGAGCACCGTTTGTACCTCAAAGCGGCCCCCGTGGGACCCAAAAGGGACACGAACGGTGTACGTTTTCCCCCTTCCCTCCCCTTTCATCGCCCCTCATTAAGCAACACAGGCCACGTGGACTGTGGCGCCCAGGACACTCCAGGACACTCCATTAAGCATCGCCACCAAATCAAGGCCTGGCAGGACCTCTGCCGATGGCACCATACGCCATGGGAGCCTCCAGGCGTCCGAGCGCAGCCCTTTCGCGAGCAGAGGCCAGGCGGAGCCAAGGCGACGACGACGATACTGAGCCGACAGAGGGGACGAGGGCGGCGGAAAAAGTTGGAGAGAGGGGAGGTGGAAGTCGAAGAGAAAACAGCGGCATTAACATCTACTTCTGGAGCTCCGCGCGGATGTCTTGGATCTGCGCCAGAGCCCCTTGGCGACGCCTCCGGCGCCGCCCCTGGCGAGCTCCGCGCGCCAGGGAGGGAGGTCCAGCGCGGGTCCAAGGACACCCGCGCGGACCTCCAAAAGTTTCTGCTTATGCAGTTTGTTCTTTCTCCAGGCAGGGAAAGGGGAGAACGGGGAGCGGGGCAGGGAGGGAAGAGACGGGGAAGTAGGAGGGACAAGAAGGAAGGAACAGGAGGGACGAGGGAGGGCGGAGGATGTGGCAGGGAGTGGAGGAGAGTGGAGGAGGCATGAGAAGCAGGAGGGATGAGTGAGGCAGGTGGGCGGAGGAGAGAGGATGAGGGAGAAGGAGGAGGAAGGAGACGTAAGGAAGGGAAGGGGAAGGAGGAGGAGGAGGAGGAGGAGGAGGAGGAGGAGGAGGAGAGGGACAGATGGAGGAGGGTGAATGTGGACTGCGGAGCAGGGGAGGGAGCGAGTGGGACGGGGCTGGGAATAGGCGAGGGAGATAAATGGGGAAGGGGGGAAGAGAGGGGAGGGCCGTGTTGAAGTTTTTGGGAAGGGTTCTGCTTCCTCCTGCCCCCCCCCTCGACCTCGGGGTCGCGACGATCATCGCGTGGCAGGCTTCTGCTGGTCGTTGCCCAGTGAGCAACATCGATCGCCCCCGTTGCCCCCGACGGAGAAACATTCGGCTGCAGGGCCACCTAGCATTGCCCCTTCCGACTTGCTGCTTAAACCGGAAGTCATGGATCATCCCAAGTTCGAGGGGCGGGGGTACGTAGATGGGGGGTTCTCCCCAGGTGGGGTTAGGTAGCGAACCAAGCTGGATACCCACATTTATTTCCAAGGAAGTGCGCGTTGTCTTCATCTTGGGGGGGAGGCGATGATTGGCTCACATAGCGGCTTGAGTCAACATGGCCACGATATTGAGTCTTGATAGGAAGAGGGGAGCAGTGATGCGGCAGGAGATGGCCAAAGGTGTGTGTATGTGCGTGTGTGTGCGTGTGTGTGGGGGGGCGTCTCTCTCTATGTGTGTATGTGCGCGTGCGGGTGCGGGTGCGGGTTGCGTGTGTGTGTGTGTGTGTGTGTGTGTGTCTGTGTGTGTGTCTGTGCGTCTGCGTCTGTGTCTGTGTTTGTGTCTGTGTCTGTGTGTCTGTGTCTGTGTGTAGGTGTGTAGGTGTGTAGGCATATTGGTGTGTAGGTACGTAGGTGTGAAGGTATGGGTGGATGGGTGGATGGGTGGGTGGGTGGGGGGGGGGCGAAGAGGGGGAAGGGGTGAGGTGGTGGAGGAGGTGGAGGTGGAGGCCGAGGAGGAAGAGGTACATCGATATTACACTAGTAGCTTTTAGCTCTTCGCGTATTCCCTCCAGCTCAGCAAGGAGCCATGCCCAGGGGAGCTGCCCTCATTGCTGGAGCGTGGCAGCAAGTGGATACCCAGGGAGCCTCATTGAACTAGAGGCCTCTCCGTGTGAAACCCCAGAGGTATTTTCTTGGCGCCTCCTCAGGGCGCTCTTGGGGTCAGCTTGGGGGCCTCTTGGGCCCCTCTTGGAGAACTCTCGGGCCATCTTGGAGCCGTTCTCGGATGGCTATCAGAAGCGAGCATATAAGAAGACACGCCACATTTTGACCGGGGCCTGCTGGGGCGTCCCGGGGACGCTCCAGAGCCACTTGGATCTGTTTTGGAGTCGCCTTCGGACCTTTTGGAATATGTTGGAAGCCAGCTTGAGCGACTTCGTGCTGTCTTGAGCCATCTTGGAGTCCATCTTGGGCTATCTGAGACCTTCTTGAAGCCATCTTGGGTCATCTTGGACGATCTAGCTACTCAGCGCCCCTGCCACCCAGATCCACGGGGGGCGTAGCGGGAGAAGGCAACCCCTCCCCGAAGTGGTAGCAGGAGGTTGGGGTCAGCTTGGACGCTGGAGCTCTTCGCCGCCGTGTCGGAGGGGTCAACCCCTCCCCGACGGGGGGGGAGAAGGAGGACGGAATGGGAAGCGCGCCAAACCACCTACGCCCTGAACCCTGAAGGGCTGGTGGGATTAGCAGGGGGGAGGAGGAGGAGGAGCAGGAGGAGGCAGATCAGATGAAGAAGCGCCGGACGATGTTGAGGACGGGGATGCGGAGCAGGAGGCGGACCAGGCGGCGGAGAAGGGGGAGAAGGCGATGGCGTCGGCGGGAGACGACCTCGACGGCCACGGCGGCGGCAACGACGGCGACGACGGCAACGGCGGCGGACAGCGAGGGCGGCGATGAGCCCGCGGCGCTTCAACCGCACCAGCGGCAGGGGCCCGGGGCGCCTTCGCCCAGGGGGAGCGAGCGCCACGCGTCGCCCCTCATGGCCCCCCTCGGCGCGGCGTGGCGCGGCCGGGCGCGTGGCGGAGGCGTCGGTGCCTCTGGCCGTCGCCGCCGCTTTCGCTGCCGCTTTCGCCGCCGTCGTCGTCGCGGAGGCGTCGCCGCCCGTCGCAGTCGCAGCCGCGGCAGGTGTGGCGGCGGCCCGAGCGGCTCCGCCCCCGCCTCACCGTCCTTCCCCCCCTTCTGGCCCTCTCCGCTCTTCCTCACGCCGTGCTCCTGGTACTGCTGCTCCTGGTGCTGCTGGTTTTCCTCCGTCGACCTGCTGCTGCTGGTGGTCTTTCTCTCCTCCTCGCCCATCGTCCGTCGGCCCTCTCTTCCCCCCAGTACCCTCCCCCTGATTCCCGTGGTGCCTCCTCCTCAACCTGGCAGGGCAGCACAGCGACAAAAGAAACCAGTCAGCAGCTTACCCTCCTCTCGTTCCCTCTTCATCATGCGTTTTGCCCAATAGTTTTCGCCCTGTTCCCTTCACTTCCCCCTCCTCCCCATGTCGCCCACGTTCCTCTATTCTTTCGTTCCCGCATACATCCTTTGTTCCCTCCTCCCTCCGATCTCCTCCTGGAGTGCGTCCACTTGAATCGGATGCTGTTGCTAGTTGGCTCAAGCGATGACACTAATGTATCGTTTGTTGGGTATAGGAGGACTGCTTCTATCTCATAGCCGCCATGCAGTTTTCTCGTTTCCAACCCACACGATTTTAGGTGGAAGCGGAGTTGCGAGATTTCCCAGCTCGCGATCCACGGTGCACGCGCAGAGTGCGATGTAGAGCACATTCGCACTTTGCTCACACCCTTCATTGGTGCCATCCTCCATCCCTTGAGCAGCATGCAGCCCCCAAGCGATTTTGCCAACGTCACCCACAGGCGCGACGACGCCAACGCCAACGACCGCAAGTGATCCTGCGAGTGTTTCGTTTCGTGGGAAGCACATGGCTTAGTGTAGGGGTAGGCCGGCCCAGGGAGGCAACGATGCTTCGGCCCCTCACCGCAACAACGTCCCAGCTGTGGCTCTGGGGGGCAGGCATCTGCGTTCTGACTGGGCCAGTATTCGGGTTCGGTTTAAGTGCGTTGTTGTTGGTTTGTTCCTTGACGGGCACGCTGCGTACTCCGAGTGGTTTCAAGCCGGTTAACGTACCTGTTTCGCCGCCCTGGGGCATCACCACGGGATTCCTTGCGAAGCTTCGAGACGGCGCTCGCCCCTGGACAGGTCCGAGTCCACATGAGCAAGCGGGGCAATTGCGACGGCCTTGTCAAAAAGGATTCCCAGCCTGGCATCACGGGGCTGTCTCTTCTCTCTGTGGCCGCCATGTTTGGCTTCTATGTATGATGTTTGGAGGAGCTGGGCAGCAACGCGGAGGCATCCCGGCACCCGCTGGGTGCAGAACCTGTTCGCCACGAGCGTACTAGTCACTGATATGGACAGCGCCCAGCAGCGCGCTGTCAATATCCTGAACCTTTATGCGGCGTCGTTCGCGAGCTCACGCGTTCCATGAAATTCACGGGTGCGACAGAAAGAGCATTGGTCATTGGTCAATGGACAGCAGCAAGACGCCATCACGCACCGCATGCGAATGTTATGCCATTCGATGGAAAACCACGCCTGTAGACCGCCCGTAAGCCTCTGGATTTACGGGTCGAGGCAACGAAACCACCGATGCGTTGCCCCCTTGGCTTCTCACGCTGCGACCCCGAGCAAGCACAAAGGTGGAGTTGCGATCTGATAGGATAGCTTCAGCTGGCTGCTCTTCCGAGAGGCCAGCGCGACCGCCAGCCATCTCAGGACGCTGCTCCAGCCCAGCGGCGACCGATTCCCAGCAACATGACTTGAACTCAGCAGCGCCACAACTATGCTCGAGCGCCTTGTCCACATCGTGGGGCTCGCATCTAGCGACGTCGCCGGCGCCCTCCGTGCGCCGCCATCCTTCGGAGGCGTCAAGGGCATGGCCATTTACAACAGCAACGACGCACGCGCACCATACCCTTGGCAGTCACCAGGGCTTCATCCTTAGGCTGCCAGCGCTGCAGAACTCCCGAGTGCCGGAGATGCCCTCGCGCACGGAGGATTCTCTCCGTCGCGCGCCGCGCCGCCGCAGGTCGCAGATTAAGCCGACGCGTAGCCGCTCGCTGATGAAGCGCAGACCTGCTTCGAATATTCGAGTGGCCCCTGTTCAGAGACTAGGTTACCGAATCAGTCCGGAGGCCGAGTGATGCCCGGCCCAGATCGGCGCCCAACCGTTCTGGCAGATGAAGCATCACAAACATCAGTGGCGACGCCACATGAGCAAGCCCACCAGAGAAGTCACGGGATTTGCCCAGCAGCATGGACGTTCGCCCCCCGGCCCTGGCAACGGCAAAGGCGGCGGGGCTCAGAAGTGCAGTGCCCTCGCCCAGCAGACCGGCGACCGTTTCGACACCGTTTTCTGCGGAGGCAAAAGTAGGAGCGGGGGCAATTTTTCCAGCTGCAACGGCCATTGCCGCAATAGTAACCCTCAGGGGCGCGACGCCCGCGATTGCGCGCAGCATCTCTGGCCAGGAGTTCCACTTCAGTGCTGCATGCGCACGGGCCAGCCTGGATTGTTCAGGCCCCCGACGAGGTGGTCCGAGTTTCCGAGGGCGCGCCGACGCGGCGCCTATCAGCGGCGCGCTGGATTCGGGGCTGTTGCTGGCATCTCAAGAGATGTTGCCATGGTCGCCGAGTCTCCGTCGCAACGGCATCCAGGGGGCGGCTTATCTCCATCGCAGTTTGCAGGCGAGGGCCATGTGCAGATGCCCGAGTCTATCCGCGGCCCCTGGTCTGTTGCGTCGCTGATCACAGCCCGGTGGGCCACGACCCCCAGCGCTTCCGCCGTTCCCCGGCGCTGCCTCCGCGGCCCCAGGGCCAGCGGCGTCGCCGTGCTCGTCGGGCGCCGCTTCTCGGGGGCCGGCTCCATCGGGCCGCCTGCCGCAGCGCGAGCCAGTTTTCCGCTTGCAGTCGCGAGCCCGACGCCCACGCGAGTTTCGCACCTGAGCCCTGCCCGAGGTTCAGGCAGGCATCATATTGACATTTCTAAGTGGCAGCGCAGGTCGATGGCGCGCAAAACCGCGCTTAACGAGTGGACGGGCAAAACCACTTTCAGAAGCGGCTGCTCCCGCTGCCTTCCAGGACCTGCCCGCGGAAGGAGCAGCGCGCGACGAGGGGCGCAAACGGTGGGGCTGCGTGCCCATCGAGCGCCTGAAGATTGTCGAGCACACCTTCGACGACATAGGTGATCATCTATCGGGATAGGGCACAGCGGGCGAAGTGGCATACCTGCTTCATGGCGGTCGCGATGCACAAGCTAGGATGATGAGCGCCTAGCCGAGACCCAAGCAGCTGGGCCCGCGGTTGGTTGTCGAGATGCGTCGCCCATCTGTGTCTACCGTGCGACGAGGGCAGCGCGCGCCGCCCCCGTGGCCCCCATGCATGGCCGAGGATGGACTTCTGTAAACTGCGCAGTGGGGAAGCCCGCGCCCCGCAGATCACCATGCGCCGACAACTGCGACAGGCGATGTCTCCCACCTGGTGACCGGGCGTGGCTTGGGCGACCCGCGAGAACAATGGCGTGTGCGTCGGCGCCTCAGGTCCAACGACGTTATGGCATTGGTCATGGCACTGTCATCCCGCAGTTGTTCCCCAAGCGGTCTCAGTTAAAAACTCAAACGGAAGACTTGGGGGCGCCTTGCGATGAGGAGCATCACTTCGTTCTGCATCGCGGCCAGGTGGCGATCGCCCAGGTGCAAGTGTACTTGGCCCAGCCCCGTGCCACCTTGGAACCGCTGCCACACTGCATGCACGTGGACGTCGCGGTGTTTGACCAGGGCGCTCTGGAGGCCGAGGGCCCAGCAGGCCTTCAAACAAGGAAGCCTTCTGGCCGCCGCTTCGTTATCTCACGCGCGCACCTGATCGCGTCCACGACATCAGCTGGGGCCACAGTCAACATGCGGAAATGCAGCTGGTCTGGCAATGGCGCCTGGCTCGGCGCGCGGTGCAAGGCATTGTTGCTCTCTGGAACTCGGCGGATGGCTCTGGCGCTCTCTTGGTTGAGCCCCACCCAGCCGCGGGCTCGCGAGTCAGCCCAGACGCTCTCCAATAATTCGAACGCTTGGAAAGGGCACAGGCACCGCCGCTAGCATCGGCAGCCAAACCAGCACCGACAGGTATGTCTCGGGCTTGGCCCAAGCCGTCGGGCGCCTCGACTCGGGAGTCTGGCGCCCAGTTTCCCGTTGCATCCACAGTTGCCAAGGAGGCGGCCATCGCACCTGGCGTGGAACGTCGCCCAGACTGCCCAGGCGGCCGCGACAGCCGCGCCAGTCTGGGCCCGCAGCGCATCGAGGTCCTCGGAAATCTCGCAGCCCCACTTGACATCCGGCCACCGCGCTCTTGCCCCGGCCTTCCCCGTGATCCGCCGCCCGATCGAGCTCGCCTTGATGGCGCCAGGCGCCTAGGATACAACCGCTGCGCAGACGAACCAGTCAGGCCAGCTCATGGGCGCCGCGCCGGCCATCTCGGGTTTTTTGCCTGAGTGGCTAGGGGTGCGGCATGCCCCGGGCTCCGCGGCAGGAAGCCGCGGGCCCCGGGTGAGTTCTGCCTTTGGTGGGCTTCCACCACAACGAGGGCCCATCGACGACCCAGACCCGCCAGCGCCAATGCGCGACGATCCTTTTGACGGCGACGAACCGCCGCCAACGCAATATTCAGCCGCGCCGAGGCCTCCTAGAGCACCTCGACAGGGACCGCGAGTCGTGGACGCAGCTACTGGACATGCACCACAGGACTGGACGGGTTTCGACGTCACTCAGGGCTTGCGCATGCTACCCACAGGCGACGCATCACATAGTTGACGAGAAGCACGCAAGATGCACATCTGCGCGCGGCATCAGCTTCTTGCCCGCGCTGAGTCATAACACCTTCGGCGCAGCTGGCCACGTCCCCCGAGCAAGAAGTGGAGGGAGACATCCTCTTCGTCCGCCAGTGATCCATCTGGCACATGGACAACCGAGCCGACAAATTTCGCGCAGCACTGTTGCCATAGGGAGACGTTAGCGATGCTTGGAGTTGTTTTTTGTTCGAGCGCCTGTTTTCAGCCGTCTCATGTTGGATACATCCCCGGACGCTGCAAAACGCTTGTCTTGGATGGCGAATTGAATATGAAGCAATTCCGTTATTCGATAGACGCGGCGCCGCGGTCCGAGCGCGAGCCCCAGGCCAGCGCGCGCGCGCGCTTCGTCGAGAGTCGCGGCCGGACTTGCCGACCCGCCATGCTTTTGATCGACGAACAGCTCAGCCGCGACGTCGTGCGAATCATCATGCTTGGCTGCTTGCCCAGCGCAGTCCTTGACAGCAGCTCGCCGATGTCGCTCGGGGGCGCCACTTCCTGCGTTGTCAGGCTTGGCGGGCAGCCAAGGATGTTGCTGGATCTGCTGGCCCCCCCCCCGGCGCCGCGCGCAATTCCCGCCGAGCGCGAAAGGCAGCGCCGCCACGGGCCGCGCGGGCCTCGGTCATCTCGCGAAGTAGCCGCGCCTCGATTTCCTTCGCCACAGTTCCGGATTGGCTTTTGGATCACAAGCCAGGAGAGGTCGTCGATATCCGCCGGGTTCCATCGACCAAGGACGGAGGCGGTTGGAGTTGACCAGCAGCCGTCTTTAAATTGGATCGTCGCGCGGTGCTGTGACTGTTTGTTACCAGGGCGCTGCGCAGCTATGCCGCCTGGGCGATGCAAGACGGTTCGTGGTCTTGGCAAGAATAGCCTGTGGATTTACAAGCCAGACTACGACGTAACACGATCAAGCATAAATGCTGCGTGGGCAGCATCGTTTTGGCCTTGCGGCGAAGACGCTATAATGACTTGGCCTCGTCAGATTCGCCGACGCAACCGCAGTGACCACCTCGCGACGCCAGGTTGCCATCCGTCTCGAGTGCCCCGCAAGGAATGCTTTTCACGCCGCCAGTGCTGTCGCTTTCCAAGCGGGGCGTAGTCTCGAACGTATTCGACGCGCGGGACGCCAAGAAGGTTTTTTTTTTCAAAGGGGGTCAGACACAAAGAACTCGCAGAGGCAGCGGGCGAGGAGGAGCGGAGTGTGAAGTTCGAGGTCCCCCTTCCCTTCCCAGGATCAGATGATGCGAGGTCTTCGATCCAGCCCTCGGGTTCCTTCGCATGAAGAAACCAGGCGCCGGCTGCGGGAATGCGCCGAGGCGTCGGTCCATCCGATTCACCGAGGCCGCCAGCGTCTTATACCTGGCCGCCCAACACAATGAGTTATCTGCCAAGGACCACGACTGAGAGTCATGTTTCTTAGCAGCTAGACACGTTGACGATATCAAGATGGCGGGAGTTCCCGGAGAGATGCTTCGACTGTCAAGTTGCGTCGAGGCTGGCAAGGGCTTGCTGGACGTTTCCGAAGAAGCTTTCACGTTGTGGGGCCGGACATTCGCCTACCAGCGACGGCCGTCGCGGCCTGAATCAAACCGACGACGCGCAGAGTGTCAAGCCCATCGGAGGTGCTGAGCTCGTTGGGAAAGCCAACTCCTTAGCTTCCACGCGATGGCCTGACAGAGCTATTCCTCAGCCTCCTCATCGCTGTGGCGTTCACCCTCGTCGCGCGCGTTGGCCGTCATGTCCACGTGGCCCGTCCGCGTTGCCACGCGGCGCCGCCCACGTGCAGCCACATCCTCAAACTCAGCGAGTTGGCCAGGCGGGCGCAAGCTAACCCTTCGAAGTTTCACGGCCCAGCCATGAGGAGTGCAGCTATGCTTGAAATTCGCTCCAACGCGGCGCGTCGCAGGAACAAGAGCTGGGCGTGCTTGCAGGTCGCCTCCTGCGCGGCGCAGTATTCCTGTGCGTGGGCGCTATGTCTTCAGCATCAGCGGCAGCGTCCTTCACTGACACCATCGCATGGGCCGGTTCACCGCTGCGACGGCCACCGGGCCCAAACCTGCGGAGTGGTCAGCGCGAGTATCGGGGGTGTTGGCACCAGCCTTTTGGAGCAGACGTCGATCGACGCGTTGGTAACTGATGGCGTGGTCGTCGTGGTGGCTGCAGGAGACCGGGGCGCAGATGCTTGCAGCTTCGGTCCGGCTTGGTTCCCGTCGGCGATCACCGTGGCCTCTATTGGAAGTGATACATGTTCGTGATCGTGCAAGTCTGTGGTCAGCAACCGCGTTTCATACATTCTTGTCTGGGCGTTTGGCACATCTTGGCAAGAGCATTCTTTCGGCGTGCTTCAACAGTAACACCGCGTTAGCTGACGCTTCGTGTACGTCCATGGTCTGTCCTCACGTCTCTGGGCCCGTGGCCATTATGTCCGAGGCGACCGTTGCGCAGAGGTTGGCTCTCATGACGGCCTCGAAACGACAGGTTTGGGTCACCAGTGTACCTGCCAACCCAGCAAGAGTCAACTTGGTTGATTTCGCACCAACAGGCGCACAGACTCCCGCAGTGACGGTCAGCCAGACATCCTATCCGACTCCTTGCCCGACGCCCAGCCCGACGCCCAATCCGACGCCAAGTCCTTCGCCGAGCCCAACGCCCAGCCCGGCACCCAGCCCAACTGTGCCGTTTTATTGTCTGCTGATTGTCATTGGCATTTGGTCCCATAAATATGGCCGCGCCGACGTGATAGTGGATGTTGGCAATGGGGTTTGTGCAAGAGGCCTCCAGGTTGTGCTCACAAAGAGTTTTCCAGCGCCATTTTGACGCTGCTTATGCACGATCCAACAACGAATGTTTGGGCAGGCCACATGCTGTATCCCACAGGTGGTGGCAACAGGTACGCAGTTGTTGCATGCCAGACTGTCTGGGGACTACATGTTCAGGCTCCATTGTTTTTGATGGAAACAGCGGGAGCGAACCAGGCTTCGACTCAGTGCCTTACTGGAAATACGTGCAGCTTCATTCTGCCGACTCTTGCGCCGACGATGACGGCGCCGAATTCTGGAGGGGTCGAAGCCACCGGCGATCCCCACCTCCAGAATATTCAGGGTGAACGGTTCGATCTGATGCAGCCAGGGAAGCATGTTCTGATATACATCCCCCGTGGAGAGCGGGCCGATGAAGCATTTGTTCGCGTGCAGGCCGATGCGCAAAGGTTGGGTGGACAGTGCACCGATATGTACTTCCAAAAAGTCAACGTCATAAGAGCGTGGGCAGCATCGAAAACGAAGCAGATGGGCGGTCTTCACTACCGCGCCCAGGACGTGACGTCGGCTGAAAACAGGCCCACTGGATGCGCTTCGGCCCTGTGCAGCTGAAAGTCGCCCACGGGCACACGCGGCACGGCCTGAGGTATCTGAAATTGTACGTGAAGAGCCTGGGCCGTGCTGGGTTCGCCGTCGGAGGCTTGCTGGGAGAAGACGACCACTCCGAGGAGGTGATCCCTCAGGAAGAGTGCGCCCAACGCATGGCTCTGTAGTGCGGCAGGCTTCTGCCCCAGCAGGCGGACTTGCCGCTGAGCAGTGGGCAGCGCCGTCGACCTCTTTGCGATGTCCTGCTCCCCCTCCTCGCCTCGCCCCCCCCCTCCTCCCACCTCCCTTCGGCCGCCCCTCCTGCGCCTGCCGGCTGCTGCCGCGCAGCAGTTTTCGGGGCCGAGCTCTTGCTCGGTGACCTCCAGCGGTGCAGGCTTCACCGGTGCGGCCTGCGCCGATCCGCCCCAGCGGCACGTCCGCTCGGTGCACCGCCGCGTCGCGGGCGCGGGCAGCCGCCTCGCGCGGCCTTTCGCGCGCCTTCGGCCCGCGGGCTGCCGGTCCGCTCCAGGCCCGCTCGGGCTGTGGTGCCCACGCGGCGCTCCCGGGGCGGCGCGGGTTGTAACGAATAATCGGGGGTGGGCAGAGGCCCCGCCCTGACACTTCGATCAGCGAATCGTCCGTGTTCGGTTCTCGAGAGGGCGCCGCGGCGCTCATTTTCCAGGCGTGCGCCCGCCAGGTTTGGGCCCGAGGTCGTTTTCGCTAAGCCACGTTTTGCTAAAGGGGGTGCTGCCCATCCCCGAAATTACAGGAGATGCAGAAGTGGCCAGCGGCCATGGGGGACGATGGCTTCGAGCAGGTAAAGTACGGCATGGCGTTCGAGTGTGCATCCCTCTCGGAGTTCTGAGTGTGGCAGGCCCTGCTGTACCTCGGCAGGACTCGTCGGGCAGCTGATCTTGTATCGTCGTCGTGGTCATCCGTACTCTCAGCACGATCATCGTTACCGCCCCCTTCCAACACATGTCTCCAGTCCCCTCTCGTGTTCGACACCACGGCCGCCACCTCTGCGATCCCCTTCAATTATTATATCTGCTGATGCTCCTGTCCTAACTCCTTCCTGTCCCTTCCCATGTTTCCTTCTTCTGCCTTCTCCGCCTTCGCCGTCTCTTCTCTCTTCCGCCCTATCCCGGCCCTCCCCTGGCTTCCCCTCCGCCACCCCCCCTCCCTTCCGCTGTCACTGATTCTCCGCCCCTTCTCACTCCTCGCCTCACTCCCTCCCCTCCCTCCCGCGTGCCTTCTCCCTCCACCTCCCGTCGGCCTGCTGCCGCTGCTCATCTGCTCATCTGCTTCCCTTCCACCCTCTACTCCTCCTTGCTCTGGCTCGCTCTGTGCGCAGGCGTCCCCGATGTCTTCACAGTCCATGCCTATTCTATGGTTGTCTTCCCCCCCCCCGATGCGCCCCCAGCGGCAGTGTTGGCGACCACGGGCTGTTCCACCGCGTCGCGATGCAATGTGGCCGGTGCAGCGCCTCCTCCCCCCCTTTTCCGTGAGCGGAAGGGCGAGTCAGGGACAAGTTGGCTCAGACGGGGACGCGCATGATAGTAAGGATGGGGCATTTCTCCAAGGCTACCCTTGCATCCTTGCCGCGCATCCTTACTAATCCTGGTCGAGTGTACCCAATTGCCCGCTGGTCGCAGATAGGAGCCCGATCGTCCACCCCGCCCAGGGACGTGCGGGTTCACTAGCGTATCGGGGGCCTTTTTTTCTGTTGATGGATGATGTATCTCAGGAGGGGAAAAAACACACCGACAAAATGAACTGTTGATTCCCCGGAAAATCTAGGAACATATGGGAAGTGGGGGGGAAGACCAAAACCCAGAAAATATGCGGAAATATTGAGAATCTTGTTACTTGTGTCTATTTATTTTTGTGTCCCAGGGCCCCTTCAGTATCGCAAATTTCTTGGTCGATGCTTCCCCCCTTTGAGCCAGTCCCCTCATCTCCGTGAGCGGTCAGATGGTGAGGCCCAGGAGTGGATTATTGGAGAGCGGAAGATGGGGGGAAGGGCCACAGGATGAGCCGCAGGGGTAACGACAATGACACTTACGAACACAGTTGTAGCTACAACAACAGCGACAACGATCACAACAGTCGTTGTGATCGTTGCGATCGTTGTGATCGTTACCGTCATCGTTATCGGTGTGATCCTTATCGTTTTGATCGTTGTCGTTGTCCATAGTTGTGATCGTTGTGATCGTTGCTTTCTGTTATCGCCGTGATCGTTTTCGTTGTTACCGTTGTCCGGGCAAGGCTGGCCCGGGCCAGGGGAGGGTCGTTTGAGAGAGAAAGGTCAGAGTGGGACGCAGGAGGGGGGACGAAGAGGAGGGGACAGAAGGGGGGAAGGAGGATGACGACGTCCTTGCAGGCGCCTACAGAGCTAATGCTCTATGCCCTCGCGAGCTTTTCCACTTCTCTGCTTCTCGTCACATCTCCTGCTCCGCTTGGTCTGCACTCTGATGATTTTACTGCTTGCCCGATTGTATCGTACGCTCTCTGAGTTTTGTGCAGAGAGCGCAACAGCTTTTTCGCTGATGGTGGCCTCGCCTGAAAAGGAGGATGACGGGGACGAGGACGAGGAGGTGGACTGGCATGGAGAAGACGGAGGAGAAGTGGGCTGGGCATTGGCAGGCGGGGAGGGGGGCAGGGGGGGAGAATGAGCAGGAGGGTGGGCCACACGCAGATCTCATTTGTACCTGCCATTTTGCCTCCTTGGGCCGCCCCGCGGCGAGATGCCGTCTTGGCGTTGCGTTTGGAGCGCTCCCAGACACCACACGCACAACTTCCGTTCTTCTAACGGCTATGCCACTGGTGCGTCCCTAAAAGAAGGCATTATTGTGGCCCTGGTGTGATTACGATGCCACCTCGGGTGCTGTTACTGTTGCTCGCCAAGTTCTGTGCATTTTCGTCCGTAGCCATTTTGGCTCAAGCCAGCTGGCTCACAGAAGGTAGGCTCGGAGGGGCCGTAGGCTTCGAAGTGGCGGCCGAGTCCGGTGGGCCACCAGTTCGATTTTGGAGCCGCCTTCGCCTGGCCATCCTCTTTGTGTCATGCGCCCGTGGCGTCACCGCGGACTTGAGTACGACGGAAAGCGCCGGGTGGAATCCGCGCGTTTGTTTGTGACGGTGACCCAGTATGCGTACTACTTTACCGATCTGTTGGCCAGCTTGCCGAACCATCAGAGGACGTCGGTCAAAAACGACATGGGCAGCAGGCTGGTCGGATTCCCGTTCAGCGAGTGCCAGCACTGCGGGAACCACCTGGATCCCGCTTACGACGCCTCCTGGTCGCGATCCCTGGTCTGGCAGAATTGCCCACCACGCTCAGACGCTTGCGGTGACGACGGGTGAATGTCGTGCAAGGAAGGATACCTATGCGGAGGGCAGGGGGATCTCGGGGATGTGGTTCGAGAGCGAGGTCGAATCGGGCCATGCCTTCTCCAAGAACCCGCGCGTCGGAGTCATGCTGGGATGCCACACGAACGAGAACAAGCGCTTCTATAGCCAAAGGCATCATGGGCATGGCGCCCACCACGTGCGTGAGGAACCGGCCCTCGTTCCTCGAGTCGCTCCCCTAGGACTCATATCACGTGGCCACGACAGCTCGTACCACATCGGAGCCGAGGACGGCGGCGGGATCCGCTGAGTCGGCATGCACGCCTCGCACCACTACGACGTTAGGTCCACAGACGGTGCAGGGTGCTCCACCAGTGGATGTGATGATCGGCTCCACCAAGTTCGGCTACACGATCGTGGACAGTGGCACCACGTTCACGTACTTCCCAGAGGCCGTCTACGTGCCCCTGGTCAGCGCCAGAAGGCACCACTGTGAGCAGGAGCAGCACGGCTGCGGCGCCACAGACGGAGGTCGACAAGGAGTGCGGGCAGCTGAGCGGCCTCGACGCGGTCCACTGGTTCCCGCCCTTGCGCTTCGAGTTCTAGGAGGCGGCCCACGTGGACTGGTGGCCCGAGTCCTACCTGAACGACATGGGACATGGACGACCAGACTTGGTGCCTGGCCTTCCAGGAAAGCCAGGCGGACAAGACGGTGCTGGGCATCTCCTTCATGCTGCACAAGGACCTCGTGTTCGACATGGCAGAGGGCCGCCGGGGCTTGGCCGACGCGGACTGCCCGCAGCACTGGGAGCAGCCGTAGATCGTGCAGAAGTTCTCCGCAGGACCTGCCATGCAACGCCTCGGCGCGGGCATGCGCTCCAGCGCAGCGCCGACAGCGGAGCCCGCTGGGCGGGGCCACGCCGCGCCGCGGCGGCGCGTGGCGTCGCGGCTCGTCGTCGTGGTGGCCGTGGCGACCTTGGCCGTCACCTCGTTGGCGGCCGTGCGGGCGAGGTGGCTCAGAGAGAAGCCAAGCCGCGCCCTTCGTCCTGGACGACGGGGAGACTCCGCTGGCGCGGCTGCCGCTCGACGCGCAGGGGCTGGCCCGCGGCTCAAGCCTCCGAGACGCCGAGCCGCCTCGCAGCACGCTCGCTCACTCTGTTCCCTCGTGACCGCCGCCCTCCTCCTCCTCCTCCTCCTCCTCCTCCTCCTCACTCCCTCCCTCCCTCCCTCCCGCCCTCCCTCGCTCCTCTCCTCAACGCCCGCGCCGGCCGCGCGGGCGCGGGTCGCCGAGACATGCGGCTCCGCGCGCGCGCGCCTCGCCGCGCCCCTCTCTCTTTGTGCCCCAGCGGCCGCTCCTCTGCGTTGGCCGTCCGCGCAGCGGCACCATGTGTATCTTTGGTCAATGGAGCTCAACTCCAGGTTCTCGCGGAGTGTCTTCTTTCCTCGAGCTGGCGAGCTGCCACCCCTTCGCCGCTCGCTGCATGATGAGGTGGCTCGATACTTGAGGTATTTGCCGGACGACGAAAGAAGTTCCTGGCATTTCGTTCAGGCGGGATGCAGGGTGGTTCCGGGCAGTGACCAAATTCATCGGACCAAAGTTTGGGTCAACTGACGTTGCGAATCATTTCCGCGTCCGCGCAACTCCTATTTCCCAGGATGACGGTTGTAGGTTGGAGTACCCCCTGGTTGTCTTGAAGTGTGCGATTGATCAGATTTTACGAGCGTCATTCATATGATCATTGCTATGCTGTCTCACTCTGCAGCTACAGAAACGGGTCCAACATTGCTCCCATGTGTGCGCGCATTGTATTTTTGAGGTCACGCCCGCGTCTCTGGCAGTTACTGGTGCCTGCTGCCCCCAGATCCAAATATGCCTCCCGCGTCTCGCGGAGCTAATGCCACTGAGACATTAGGTTCCAGAACGTCCAGGAAAGCCCTCAATGTTCAGCCAGTTTGTTGTGCTTCGAGCGCGTTGCGCTTTGTGAAATATCCTGTCAACCTTGTAAGTTCAAGTGATGGGTAAGAGTGTTCATGACAGAGAGGCAGGATGATGAGGAGGAGGAGGACGACGACGAAGACGACTACTACGAGGGAGGAGGAGGAAGAGGAGCAATGGGACGTAGGACGAGGAAGGTCTGGGGAGGTGCAGGATGAGGGCTAGGAGGGGGATTGGAGGAGCATCAGGGGTAGGGCGAGGGGATGCGGGACGGGCAGGCTGCGGAGGCTGAGGGGGAGGGGAGGGGGGGGGGCAACGGAGGGAGGGAGCAGGGACGGGGACCTCGGCCGCGGGGCTCCGCCCTCCTCCTGCCCCTCCCCAGGCCTCCTCGCTCCCGGCCAGCCCTCCGCGCCCGCAGGCGCGCACCATCGCCCGCGCCCCGCGCGCGGGCATCCGCCGGCGCCCTGGAGCCTGGGCGGCGGCGCCGCCGCTGCACCGCGCCCTCCGCGCGGTCGGCCACGCGCGCACGCGCGCCGCGGCCGCCGCCGCCGCCTTGCCGCCGGCGTGGGTCGCCCAGTCGGGGCCGGAGTGGAGGGTCTCGGCTTCCAGGCTCGAGGCTCCAGAGGCCCCTCCGGAGGCGACAAGGGGAGTTCTGGGAACGGGGAGCGCCGAGCGGATCCCCGTCAGTTTGAGCGAGGTTCGTCTCCTGAAGACTGTTTGAAGCTGCTGGGGGGCCTCTAGGGATCCTTCTGGTGGCCGTCTGGGGGCCATCGTAAGCTGTTAGGGGCTGTGTGGAGGTCATCTGGAGCCGTCTTGGCCTTCTCGAGGGCCGATGGGGCCAGAGTGCATGGGGAAGAAATGGCCGGGGGATCGCGCCGCCTCCCCGAGGCATCGGCGATGCGGCGCGATGCAGAGTCCGATTTCTCCGCCCCGACGTCGCCAGTGCATCGGCGATACATCGACGATTCTCCGATACCATGTGCTCTGGCCCCAGTTGGGAGGCCTGCAGAGGTTCCAGTATCGAGATTTCCATGGACCTACGCTCTTCCCCCTCTTCGGGCTTCGGGGGTCCCGGATGCCTATGGGTATGGGGACCTCTGCCCCGCAAAAGCATCTAGCGATACCTAGACACCCGCAGGCCTTCGGAGGCCGCCGCTTCTTCGTCGTCGTCGTCGACTCTCCCGCGGGCTTCCTGGAAGGGTTTCGCGTGTTGCGACTGGGTTTTCAATGTGTGTTGTCGCCTCGGCTGGACGCGTCTCGTTCAACGGGCAGGATGGTGGCTCGAAGGGTTCTGGAAGGAAATTTTGCAGCCGATTTCTTTGGAAGGTGGGGGGGACATATGTGGGCGTCGTGCAGAATTTGTGGCGTTTCTGCCCTTGCATCGGGCCCTGGGGCCGTCACACATTCGTTTGATTAACTGCAGAAACATGGGTCCGAGAGCTCTCCTTGCGTTTTATGTCACGACGTTGTGATTATGTGGTTTACGTGCGGCGTGAACAGAGGCAAGGCTCACATCGCCGTCGACTGCCTTCCTAACTGGTTCGCCAGGGTCCAAGACACCAGCATCAAGATTGTTGCACAAAGTGGAAACGACCAATAACAGCACGGCTGATGATCGACACCCACGTGCTTCATTTGAATCAGCATCGGGCTTGCCGCAAGCCTTTGGCCCCAAGGCCCAAGCACAGCAAGGTTGCTTTCACGGTATTCGCCGGTGCGTCTAATTGCCATCTTTTGTGCCAGTGCAACCTCAAGGTGAAGGGCACAACGACGATTTGACCATCATCGACCGACGGGTGTATTCGGCTTTGATGTGCCGCGGGGTGTTGCGTTTTGCGCCGTACTTCAGTTGTGCTTCGACGAGCAAAGGAGTATCGGGGAACTTACAGTTTCAACAGGCACGACGGCAGCATGTTAACCATATTCGAGTATGTTTGCCAGCTTTACGGCAGAGCGCAAGCACGACACCCAGTAGCACACCCAGGATCACGTGCATTCAAACACCTCGATTGTCCCAAACCGCGTTTCTGGGCAAGTGCATTCAAACACTCAGGACAACGGGCACGAACAACCACAGGAGGTGTCTGGTAATTGTGTCGCCCTCCCAGAGGCAGGGCGCATGCGCCAGAAAACGATTGGCCTTGGCCGTCCAGCCGTTGGCGACTTATGTTGCGACGACGAGTGTGACGTGGCCGACCTCCACGGCAAGCTACCGCAGTTCTGCCCACATGGTGGTTCCGAGGTTCGTCGGTTCCCGAACGAGAGAATGACCGCCAATCGTGTACATCTATCACAGTCCACCGAGTTCGACACCATCGACCAGCTCCTCGCCTACGCTACTTTTTGCGATTTTGGTGTCGGCATTATGGAGGTCTGCGGTGAAGAGGCGCGGACTGGCAGACTGACGATCCGCCGCCGCCTTCGGCCTGGCGAGGACCTTGCATTGGTCACCGGCCGTGACCTCAACGACGGAGCCAGCAGCGAGCCGTGGAACGATCTGTTCGACAACGCCGGCCATTAGTTAGAGTCGTGGCTCCGACCAGCCGTTCTTTGGTCGTTGGGCATCCTTCAGCTACGAGCGGCACTGCCGCCGGCTGCGTTCCTGCAAGGACGCGGCCACACATGTCCGATTCTGCGGCTTCCCTGCACAGCTGCACCTCGAGCTTGGCAGCGACGTCGCCAACCAGCAGTCCGAACCACCAGGGCTGGGCGACGAGGCGACATGGCCAGAGGTGTTGGCATCGCCTGGCGTGAACAAGGTCATCTTTGACCAATGTCAGCTTGGACTTCGAGATCGTCGCGGAGGTATGCCGAAGCAGACCGCCAGAATGGTCTCCAATGCTGTGGTGGAGATTCTCGAGCAGCTCGCGAGAGCGACTCGCCCAGTGCCGAGCTGCATCGCGTCGCCGACGGAGGCGCCCGCGCTTTGCGAGCTGCTTCAGCGAGTGCGACGCGCCATCGGTGGCCTTCCCATCAGTGGCCGCCCCGGCCGCGGAGGTCGATTGCAGACGTGCAGCGGCGGCCAAGCGCGCGCTGCGCCTGCGAGACTCGCGGGGGCAACGCGCGGGCAGACCTCGCCCGCGCGCCCCGTGGGCCCAGCAACGCGCTACAACCCCCGCGGCGACCCGATCCACTGGGCGCGCCCCAGCTGCCAGGAGGAGAGTCAACGCGACAGCCCCATGCACGCCCGCGAGTTCTGCAAGCGTTGGCTCCCGGACCCCCGCGCGCGGCCGCGCCCGCGCGCCGGCTCGCGCCCGCGAGCGCAAATGCGACCTAGAGGACCGCGTCGCCCCAGCGATCGGCAAGCTCAACTCCTCAGCGGCGCGCAGTCCTCGGAGCCACAGTCCTGCTCTGCCGCCCGCCCCCCCGGGGAAGAAAAGGGCCAGCTCATCGCGTTGCGCTGGGGCTCAGAGTAGCGGTTCGGGCGACTGCGCCGCTCGACCAGGGGTGCGAGCTCCGAGCCCGCGCCCCCGGTCGAGCCCCGACAGGAGGTGCCGCGAGTTGCCGGCGCAGCTGCAGGCAACCCAGCGCCTTCAGACTCAACTCGCTTCGGCGTTGCCACATCCGCGCGGGCACTTCGCAGTGGCTCGCCAAAGACGCTGCGCCTCCGGCGTCGGCGCGCCGCTGACTGAGGAGGAGATGGCGCGAGCACTACAAGCAGCCAGCATCCCACGGGGCATCTTCGACCTCATCGCCACGGATGTCAACGACTGCAGGGGGCGCCGCAGTTGGCTGCCGCCAGCGCGCCAGGCCCCCCCCCCCGGGCGCTCCGCCTGTCGACGCGATTCAACCAGCGCGTCGATTGCGTCATCTTGCGCTCCAAAGGCCGCGCGATCACCCGCCTGATCAGCTGGGCCTCGCGGGGGCAACGTGGCTGGGAGATCGCGCCCGAGCGCAACTCGACGCCGCGCTCCGCCATTCATCGTTCGTGGATTCAGCAGTTCGGCGCGAAAGAGACGTCCATTGCGGACGGCGAGGGGCGGGGCACCTCGCCGCGCTCTGCGGAGGAGATGAACGGGCGAGCAGCGCGCGCGGATATTTGAGCCCCTCCTTAGCGCGCTCGCTTGGTCGAGCGGCGCGGTGCCATGCTACGACGTGCACTTCGCGCCGAAGTCGAGCTGCTAGTGCGCGCGGGCATCGCGGCAAACTTCGACCCGGTTTTAAACGCGCGCAATATTTTGTCCCCATATCCTAAGATGGGGTTCTTGTTATTACTTGGACGCCTCCTACTCCTTCTCCTTCCTCCTCCTCTTTTCTCCTCCCCTCCTGTCGGGCTTACTCATACTCAGACTTGCTCATGCACAGACTTACTCATACTCAGACTTACTCATACTCAGACCTACTCATACTCAGACTTACTCACACTCAGACATACTCATACACAGACTTACTCATACACAGACTTACTCACACCCAGCCGTACTCATACACAGACTCACTCATACCCAGACTTACTCATACACAGTATTAGTCATACTCAGACTTACTCATACCCAGACGTACACATACACAGACTTTCTCATACACAGACCTACTCATACCCAGACTTACTCATACACAGACTTACTCATACACAGACTTACTCATACTCAGCACCCCTAAGGGGAGCCGCCAGGGGTGGTTGCACGGGCTCGTTCGCGGCCATTTTGTGGGGATGTCTCAGGCGGTTTGCCTGTTTCTGTGCCCAACATCCTTCGCTTTCGGAGCAGATTTGGAGGATGTCTCGAGCGAGGCGCTCATTTCAGCACCCCTAAGGGGAGCCGCCAGGGGTGGTTGCACGGGCTCGTTCGCGGCCATTTTGTGGGGATGTCTCAGGCGGTTTGCCTGTTTCTGTGCCCAACATCCTTCGCTTTCGGAGCAGATTTGGAGGATGTCTCGAGCGAGGCGCTCATTTCAGCACCCCTAAGGGGAGCCGCCAGGGGTGGTTGCACGGGCTCGTTCGCGGCCATTTTGTGGGGATGTCTCAGGCGGTTTGCCTGTTTCTGTGCCCAACATCCTTCGCTTTCGGAGCAGATTTGGAGGATGTCTCGAGCGAGGCGCTCATTTCAGCACCCCTAAGGGGAGCCGCCAGGGGTGGTTGCACGGGCTCGTTCGCGGCCATTTTGTGGGGATGTCTCAGGCGGTTTGCTGTTTCTGTGCCCAACATCCTTCGCTTTCGGAGCAGATTTGGAGGATGTCTCGAGCGAGGCGCTCATTTTCACCCCCCAGGTGGGCCAGATTTTGAGGATGTCTCGATCGGTTTGCTTGTTTTGGTGGCCAGGCTCGTGGGCGCAGATTCTTCTCAGGATGCCACAGGAGGCTCCAACAGGCTCCAGGAGGCCCCAGGAGACCACATGAGGTCCCAGGAGGCATCAGGAGGCCTCAGAAAGACTCAAGAGGCCACAGGATGTCCCAAGAGGCTCCAGGAGGCCCCAGGAAGCTCCAGAAGGCTTCAGGAAACCACAGGAGACCCCAGGAGACAACAGGAAGCGCCAGGAAGCCTCGGAAGGCAACAGGAGGCCCCGAGAGGCCCCAGGAGCAGGAGGCCTCAGAAGGCAACAGGAGTGGCTCCAATCCCATGTGTTTTACGTATGCTCTTATCGATTGGGCCTCACCTGGAGCACGATTCTTTGATGTTCTACGTATGTTTCTATAGATGGTCCTTCTCCTGTGTACACAATCCTAAATGTTTTATTCATGTTGTTATGTATTGGGCCTCTCCTGGGGCAGGAGTCCTTGGTGTTTTACGCGTGTTCCTATAGATTGCCCTTCTCCTGTGGCTCTAATCCCTCCGTAGCCATTTTGGCTCATGCCGTTCCCTTTCTGCTCGCTCTCGTTTTGGGCCCCGCGGGAGGCCGCAGAGATCGGACGCTTGGGGAGATGGCTGCGGGCGGCGGCCAAGCAGCCCGTGCGGCTGCTGAGCCGCCATGCGCTGGAGGCTCCCTCTGGCCCGCGAGGCGCTCCAGGCAGGCGGCGGCTCGCGCTGCCTGCGCTGGGCGGCTGCAGGCGGCCCTGGCGCGGGTGACCGACCTCGAGGCGGAGTGCGCGCGGCTCCAGGCGGAGCTGGGCCACGTGCTGGTCGCTAGCCAGGCGGTGGCCACGGCTGCGGCGCGCGCAGCCGCGCAGGAGGCCCGCGGCTCCGCGGCCCCTGCGGCGGATGCTGTCCATGACGGTGGTGGTCTTCCTGGTGCTGGCTCTGGCGGCGACGTCGACAGCTTGTGCGAGGACTCCGCGGACCTGGACGGCAAGAGGGACCCGCTGCTCCGCGCCGCGGTCCCCGAGGTCGTCGCAAGGCTGGCGCTGGTCGCGCCCGTCATGGCGGCGGACCTCTTCAACGAGCCTGCAGCCACCCTGGACGTCGGGCGTCGGAACGTGGTCAGCCACAACCCGACGATCTCGGCGGCGGAGGTGCGCAGGCTATCTCAGCGGGCGCTCAACCGCCTGCAACGCTCGGCTGCTCCGAGGGCACGGCGGGGGCGGCATGGAGGGCAGCCTCGTCACGGTCGCAGCGCTGGTGTTCGCGGCCGTGGAGCTCTTCCTCCTCTTCGCCCTGCTGGTGCTGGGCCTCCGGTGCGGCTGCGGCCGCCTCGCGGGGCTTCCGGCGCCCTGCCCCACCGGCGCCAGCCCGAGGCTCGCTCGGCCGCCGAGGGCGTGTCGGCTTCCTGGGAGGTCGCCTGCCGCCGCGGGCGCAGCCTCCCAGCGGGCGCCCGCTTCGCTCTCGCTGATCGAGCGCGTCTTTCGGCTGCCCCCGTGCCCGCCCCGCTCGCCTCGGGGCCCCGCTGGTGGAAAGGGGACCTCGAGCATGCGGAGCAGGGCTCGGCCAGGCAGCTTGCCTGCCACGAGTTCGGAGGCGACCTGAAGGAGCTGGACGGCTTCAACCACTCCGCGGCGTGCGCGAGTGCGGCCTCGAGCGCGCCCCCTTCGGCTTGCGACGCGGACTTCGTGGTGGCGGAGGGCCCCGAGGCTCTCACCGTCGGCGCTGCGGCTGACGACGTCGACGACGGGCAGGGAGTCGCCTCCGTGGTGTTCATCTCGGCCGACGGGCTCGAGGAAGGGCCCGAGGAGGATGTCGTGGAGGAGGTGCACGGTGACGTGCTGGAGCTGGTGGTGGGGGACGCCGCGGCCCTCGCGCCCGCTCCCCAGCTTGGTGCGGCGGTTCGTGCTCGCCTTCGCCTCGATCGACTCCGACTTCAGGTCGTCAAGGGTGCCGCGGTGCCCATCGACGACCGCGACCTCCGCAGACCTGGCTGGCAGGCCGCCGATGCCGCAGCTGGGGTGGAGGTGCCCCCGACGCCTGCCCAGCAGCGCGAGGGGCTCCGCTGGGTGAGACGGCTTCTCGCTGTTCCTGGGGCCTGGGACGGAGGCGCGGTCTGGGAGCCTGAGTACATCGAAGAGGCGGTCAGACGCATCGACGGCGACGGCTCGCGCCGCGCCCGCCGTGCCGCTCGCTGACCCAGCGCGCCCGCTGCCGCGGCGACACTCCTCGAGCTGTTGCGGTAGCCTCTGGGCGCTTTTCTGCTTCTCACCTTTTGTGAATGAGGTGGGGAGTGCCTTCGGTGGTCTGAGCCTTTTCAGGCTCGGCACGGGGTGGATGGTGGCTCGCGTGGCCGCCTCACCTGACGGCGCACACCCACGCGGCGCGGCGAGCGCGCTGCTACTTGGAGGCCGCTGCGGAGCCTCCTGGCCGCTTTTTGCGGCTCTCGCCTTCTTGGCGGCAGGATCGGCTCGTGCTGCGCGGGCTGCCTTGTCATTAAAAAAAAGTGGCTCTAATCCGCAATGTTTTATGCACGTCTGTTGCTATAGATTGCGCCTCCCCTGGGGCACGAAACCTTCCTAGGAGGTCCCAGGAGGTCCCAAGAGGCTCCTGGAGACCCCAGGAAGCCCCAGTAGGTTTCAGGAGGCCCCAGGAGGCCCCAGGCTCATGCACAGAGACGCGCTCGTACTACTGAGGCTCATTCACACTCCAATTCATTCGCAGTTAGATTGATGTCCAGACCGTCACAACTGAAGCCCGTTAATATTCGAAAGCTCTTGCGCCTAGACATTCACGGCGGACAGGTCCATGCGAGTAGATGCACATATGGGGAGCTCCACGCAGTGAATAATTGGCAGCCGCCTCACTCACGTGAGCGGCTTTGCACCATGCGACGTCGGCTTCGGGGGACAGCCAGCCGCGCTGACGCTGCCCGAAACAGACGGAGCGGGTGCAGTATCCGATGCCCGCGGCACCGATTCTAGGCTTTCTGCAGGAAGAGCAGCGCAGCACAGCCGATTGCGGCGGCGCATCCGCGAGATCGTTCCAGCGCATGACCGAGGCCGCCTCGATCTCGCGCGTCAGCCGCGCCTTCTGGGCCCGCGCCGCCGAGTCCTGGGAGGGCCGCTTCAACGTTGGCGAGGTGGCGGGGGGCCACGGGCCCCCGATCACGGAGGACGCGTCAGGCTGGGTCGGCCCCGGAACGGTAATTCCTGCAGACCCGGCTCGATGCGGGGTTTCGGCCAAGCCAAGCGCGGCCGAGCCGAGCTGGCATGTAGACTGCGCGACGGCTGGGCACTCATTGGCGCCGCCCTCGACGACGCCGGCAAATTTGGGGCGAGCGCGTTCGGCCCTGGGCCAGGACTTTCGGCTGGAACACATCGCTCCAGGCCCGGGGGCCAGGACTTTCGGCCACTGAGAGGGCGCGAAGCGCGCGTAGATCACCGAGCAGACCTGCCAGCGCACAGTCATCCTCACAGCCCTGCGTTACCTGTACCGCAGATGCAGTCAGCTGCCAGACGCTCGCGGCATGCATCTTCGCGGCCAGGAGCCCGGGGGCCACTGGCCGGGCAGCGCCCGCAGCTCGGCTGCGCGGCGGCCCCCTCGACGCACGAGCGACGTCCAGCAGGTCCACCTCGAAGTCGTCAGGCTCGGCGCCCATCAGTTTATGGGCGAGCGTTGGAAGGGGGCTGGCATCGTTCGGTTTTTCTTGGGGGCGAGCCACCGGACGGAACCTCCCTGCGCGTCTCGCGACGATTGTGTCAGCGACGTCCCCGATGACGCCGCCAGCGCCACTGGGGGCTGTTCACCACGGCCTTGTCGGATTTACCCGAAGAGACCGACGGCGATTCCCCCGACCACGCCCGGCGGGCAATGCTGGCAGCTTGGCGCGAAATCGAAGGAGCAGAAGACTAGGCCCAGGAGCTCGAGGAGCTGGAGAGCGCCTGTAGTCAGCACGATATCCACGCTGCTGTCGAGCTCGCCGCGGCCGGGCAGTGCCGGCGCCAGAGCATCCACGCGCAGTGCCGGAGACGCGCGCGCTGGGCCACCTCGGACGACAACGCCGCGCCAGAGGAGGACTATGGAGGAAGGCATGTAGAGGTTATGCTTGATTCGGGGGTGCGCGAAGCTCTCTTGAGTTTCGACGAGGAAGCGTTTATCGTCTGTGTCCACAGAGCTCCCTGGACTTACGCGCATTCACGCCCATGCCGTCGCTGAGACCGCGGCCATTCAGCGCGACGCCGGCCTTCCGCTCAACGAAGAAGCGTCGCTCGGGGTCGCGGCGGCCATCCTCGAAGAGCTCACCACCTGGGCCAGTTGCACATGTCACGAGGGGCGACCGCTCGAAGGCGCCCGGCTTCGACAGGCCCAGGCGCGTCTTCAAATGGATGCGCCGGAAAGAATCTGGCGGCATGGCCGTCCAGAACATCTGGCGTCCCATGGCGCTGATGGGGCCTCTGCGACGCGGGCGCCAGAGTCCTGGGGGGCGTTCGCCGGGGTTGCGAAGCGGGCGTCGCGCCGCTCTTCGGTTTCCGAGGCGGCGTGTCCGGGCGTGCGTAGCTGCGGACGTCGACGAGGCGCCCGCATGCATGCGCAAGGCGAAGCGCGACGCGAGGTGAATTTCGCCACGTCACCTGGCATCGCAGCCTTCCACAGGCAGGTGCCCGGCAACGAGCTGCGACGAGCAGACTGATCGCTTGCGGTGCATCAAGCCGGGCACGGGCTGCAAGGATACCCCCCGGAGTCTTCTCCACCTCGTTCGCCCGGCTCGCGCGATCGCCGGAGCGCGGCGCCGAGTCCGCCGGACGGGGCCTGGCGTTCGAGGCGAAGCGCGAGACGTCGGGCGCCCGTGGCGCCAGCGTTTCGGAGGTAGTGTTTAGGTTACACGCGCGCGTTGAGAATGCGAAGTTCGCTGGGCGCAAGCGGCGCGTCAATCCGCTTGTTTGTTTCTTGATGGTGTCTTTGGTAGTGTGACTTGTGGACCAGATGACTTGGTCAAGTCTGGAGGGCGTCAGCATCGCCGTGCCGATGGCACCGTGGCGCTCGACCATGACGAGTGCATCGTCGCTCTGATGCCGATCAGACACGTCGACCTGGTAGAGGCGCAGGCTGGCGAGCTGGTCCGAGGTCAACTTTCAGATTTCTTTGTCACCATATTGGCATTCATGCTTGCACCAGGCTCGCCCAGCACCGCGGCGCCGCAAGCGTCGTCGCCCTGCAGCAAGCCGAGAACGTCTGCTCATCCGACGCGCGACGCAGCTGAACTCACTTGTTCTGGCCACACAGCGCACGCATCTCATTTCCAACCGCGAAGCGCGCCAGGCGCGTCGGCGCGCGGCGACGGGTTGTTCCGGGGGGGGTGACAGGGCGCGGCGTGAGACAGGGCGCGGCGAGCGCAGCCGCGCCGGCAGACAGGCGCGCAACTCGTTGGACATAGTCTGCCAATCGCACAAATTGACGCGCATATCGTTTCGGCCCCGAGCTGCCAGCAGCGCGCGGCGCGGCCGACGGACTGCGGTCGCGCCTCCTCGCGCAGAGCGAGACGGCGCGCGGCCCCGCCTCTGCCGAGGACACCGGGGGGCTGCAGGGGGAAGGGGCGCGCGCGATCCCCGCAGTTTTCGTCGTCGACTGCGCGTCCGTCTTCGGCGCCTTGCTCGCGGGGCCGGCGCGGCCGCTATCGGAGAACGGCATGGCAGGCCACGGGTGGAAGCTGGAAGTCTGTTGACCAGCGCCGCGCCAAGAACATCGAGGACCTACGCTGGCGCGACATTCGGGATTTGCGGGCCGACCCGCGACCGAGGGCAACACGGGCCTGGAGCTCATCGTCTTCGAGATGGGCGGCCAGATGAGAGATGACCATGGCGCCGCCATGCTCAGCGACGACAACATGAAGGCCGCCGAGCTCCCAGCACAGTTCCCTTACCCAGCGGTGAAGAGGTGACTCGTGTGACTGACTCTGTAGCGCGGTCGAGCACCGTGGCTCAGTTCACCAGGACGCAGGCCGACCAGCCCAGCAGCCGCGAGATCGTCAAGTTCTGCGGGCAGTCACGGCCAAAAACTACGAGACAGTTGAGCATTCAGTTGAGTGTTGCTCCAGCTGACCGCGTCAACTGGGCAGCAACACGAATTTGGCATGCGCTCCTAGTCTCCTGAGCGCGGCCAGCAGCGATAAATCGCAGGCGTGTCTCACGAGTGTGGCCCGTCGAGCATTCAATGGGCAGCAGGGTGACACTTACGAGGTCATGACGGACAAATTTAAGCACCAGCCTCGAAAGATGCGTCTTCTTCCCCTGCCTGTCTCATCGCATCTTGTCCTGTGCCAGGGATGTTGTTTTTTTGCGCTGGCGTTTCCTGCCCGACCCGTGCCCTGTGCCCGCTGTTGGACAAACTGTTCACCTGACATCCCGCTCCTCAGGGATACCCAGTACTCTACATGTTTACCCCCGCTCATTTCTGTAGTATTTCCGTTGTCGTCATCACAACCATCATCATCCTTTTCTTCGGCCCCCTTCCCTCAGTCCCCCTCCGTCTCCACTCCCCCCGTTTCCCCGTCGTTCCTCACCTTTTTCCGCCTTCCCTTCCTCCTCGCCTCCTTCCTCCGCGCCGCAGGCGGCCGGCGGGTCTTCTCCCGCGTCGCGCTTGGGCGCGGGCTTGGGCCGAGGCGGGGCTCCCCAGCCAACCGTGACGACCACCGCGGCGGCGGCGGCCGTGGAAGGGGAACGCGTCGGGTTCGGGCTGCGCACAAACAGCCGGGCCAGGCTGTCCCGGCAAGCCTGACACGGCGGCGCCTATGAGGCGTTCCGCGCCTGAGGGTTCCGTCGGGGCTGGCCGGGGCGCCGTGGGGAGCTGTGTGTGTGCGTAGCCCGGCGCGTCACCTACGGGGAGAGGAGGGCGAGGAGGAGGAGGAGGAGGAGGAGGGCGAGAAGGACCAGTGCCAACCCAGGAGTCACTAACGATGTTGGAAGTTCTCTCTTCAATGGCCCGTGCACCAGTTCATTCCCACTAGGAGAACCGCCTCGTTGGAAAAGATCCGTCGGAAGACCCCGAGGCAAGGCAAACCATTGTTTTCGGGATTCTCAAGCCACGGAGCGAAACGAGTGTTGCGTCTTGGCGATCTTGGATCGTGCCAGAACGTCGTTCTTGGGACTACACCGCGAATCAACGAATTTGTGGCACCTTCGTGACCCCGAATGTTTCCAACACCCGCTTTCTGGATCGCTGATCACATGGAGTCCATAGAGGTCATTCCGTTTTGGGAAGACGACTGCACGCGGCGCGCAGGCGAGAGCCACACTCTGAAAACGGCCCGCCCTCGACCTGCGAACTCCTGCAATTGTTTACACCGAATGTGTGCGGCGCTGATGCGAGGGCCACATTTTGAAAACGCTTCGCCCCCAATCCGTGACACTCTTGCACATGATGTGAGCGGCGCTACGGCGAGGTCCGCATTTTGAAAGAGGCCCGCCCTTCACGTGTGAGCTTGTTGCCAATGTCAAGTTTCAGTCGCAGAAGTGGTGAGGACATCTCAGGCGACATGCCCGGAGTGCGGCAGGGAAAAAGTATGTCTAAGGAGACGGAATGGAGGAGGAGGGGGAGGAGGAGGTGGAGGAGGAGGAGGAGGAGCAGGAGGAAAATGAAGAGGTGGAGCAGGGAGAGGAGGGGGAGGAAGAAAAGGGGAAAGAGGAAAAGGAGGAGGAGGAAGAAGAGGAGGAGGACGAGGAGCAGGAGAGCAGGAGGAAGAGGAACAATGTCAGTGGGAGGAGGAGGAAAAAGAGGAAGGAGGAGGATGAACAACGGGAGAAGGAGGAGGAGGAGGAGGAGGAGAAGGAGGAGGAGCAGGAGGAGGAGGAGAAGAGGCAGAAGCAGGAGCACCAGCAGGAGCAGGGACAGGGACAGGAGCAGGAGCAGGAGCAGGAGCAGGAGCAGGAGCAGGAGTAGTAGGAGGAGGAGGAGGAGGAGGACGTGAAGTTGGAGGAGAAAGAGGAGGAGGAGGAGGAAGAGGAGGAGGAGGAGGAGCAGGAGGACGAAATAGGCGTTCGGTCGAGTGGCGGGTGGAGGTGCAGCTACTTTCACACATCCGCTTTCCGTGCCAACCCAATGCTGCCACGTCAGGCCGCGCAATCCAACGTTGCCACGTGGAGGCTTCATCCTTTCAGAGCGAGTCCCGAGAAGACCAAGGCGTGAAGGGCGATTGGACTTGCCACTCGAGCGGAAAACAGGCAGCGGGGGCTCCCTGACAATTTTGCCGAACATCCCGGGCGGTCCCGGCATCATATCTCCCACGGTTGCAGCGCATGCGTTGCCAGAGGTTTGGCCGACCGTTGCAACGAAAGATGTTGAGCGTCAACAACCAGCGCCCAGGCGGGAGGAGATGAATTCAAAGTTTGAAGTCGATGCCGTTGCTAAGTTTTTCATCTCTACGGGCCGCCATAATCATCAGGACCCGCTGGTCGGCGCCGTCTGTCCCTGGGGCCGTGTGCCTGAAAATGAACCCTCACAGGATGCGAGTCTGCTGGGCACCTCTGGCCACGAGAGGCCATGTGGTTGGGACCTGGATCGAGCCCCCCTTGCTCTCTTGGGCCCCTCCTTGTGGGTCACCCCGCGGTGCGCGCAAACCCCTTGCCGGGGGACCTGGGGGACCTGGGGCCGAAGGGGAAGGCGGCCGTCGCCATCGAAAATAGAGCCACAAGGATGGCAATCGCGATGTTCTACGCAGGATGGAATAAGAAGTTCCCCGCCATTCTAGAGTAGTCCTCCCTGGCCAGGCCACCGGTTGGCAGTCTGGGGAGGGAAGCTACTCATGTGTGGGCTGGCAGGACTCGATTTATCTCAGAGCGTAAATTACCTCCCCCGCTTTCGCTTCCAGGCAAAACCAAGCCATACCACGCGCCTCCTCGTCAAGCGGCCTGACCAGTACAGGCTGCAATTTGGCATCGTTTGGTATCTCTTGGAAGCGAGGGTGGTCAAAAGCGAGGTAGGTTTGTTTTCCTCCTATTATCTCCTATTTTCTTTCTCCCTCTCCCCCTGGGGCCCATGAGGGGGATTGCTTGGGAAATCGGGCTCGGGGTCCACACTTGCCACGGGGAGGGCTTCTCGCTCGTGGCCCTCTCGGAGTTGCGTGTGTGTGCCTGGCGCTCCGTCAAAAGAGAGCAAAGCTGGTGGACAAGACCTCGATCGTGAGGAAGCGCGCTCCTGGGAGATTGAAGATTGATGTCGACCCTGATGTCCCTCCTCCCTCATTGCTCTGAGTGTGTCTTTTGAGGCAGACTAGCTTCAAAAGCTGAACTCAAAAAACTCGAATAGTACTCTGATTCAACTCCGGATCAACTCTGGCCCGAAACTCTGTTTCCTCTGGTTTTTTATTGAAGCTCTGATTTAGCTCTGGTCTGAACTCTGATTTAACTCTGACTGGGCTCTGTCCTCAGCCACTGAAAGCAGATGTGAAACAGAGCTATATCAGAGAAACGTCGGAGTTCCAGACCAGAGCTAAATCAGAGTTTCAGCTAAATCAGAGTTGAACCCGAGTTTCAGGCCAGAGTCAAAACAGAATTGAATCAGAGTATCCTCGGAGTTCTGGCAGTTCAGGGCGGAGGGCGCGGGGCGCGTTGCGCAAGTGCGCTTGTCTTCCTCAATATGAAGGGGGCACGATGGGCGAGAACGAGGGCGGCAGCGAAAGCGGGGACGAGGGCGTAACGACGGCGGAAACGAAGGCGAAAACGAGGGCGGGAACTGAGGTTGGAACGAAGGAGGTTCCCTGGAGGTTCCCCGGAGTTCCCCCTGAAGTGCCCGGATGTTTCCTGGAGGCGCCGGGGGGAATCTTGGAGGCGCACACGAAGAGGATTCCCAGAGGCGCCCCCCCGCACGCTCGTTCCCGCCCTCGCTCCCGCCATCGTTCCGACCCTCGTTCCCGCCTTCGCTCCCGCCTTCGCTCCCGCCGTCGGTCCCGCTTTCGCTCCCGCCCTCGCTCCCGCCCTTGCTCCCGCCGGCTCCTGCCCTCGGTCCCGCCCTCGTTCCCGCCTCCGTTCCCGCCCTCGTTTTCGCCCGTCGTCCGTCGTTCCCGCCCCAGTTCCTGCCCTCGCCTCTGCTTTCGTCCGGCCCAGTCTTGAGGGTCCAACCTGCTCGAATTAACTATCATCGTTAATCAAATCATACAGAGTTACATCTTCTAATTACCATACGCTTTGATTAAAACAGAGGTCCCCTACGATTTCTATGTTGATGCCATGTTAATGCCATGCTAATGTCATGCTATTCCGCCCCACCCCTTTCTCCTTCTATTCCTTTTCCACATTGCGACGTCTCCTCGACAGGAGACGTCGCCCCCCTCGCCGCGATTGTTTGTCTCAGCGGGCGCGAAGAGGTAGCGCAAAGGGGAGCGCGCTCCCGATTCTGGGCGCGCGGGCGGCGCGGGCGTTCACTCAGTGAAGCCGTCGCCGCTGGTTCGCCTGCCTGTCCCTCCCGCCGTTCTGGGCCGCGCGCGCCCCCGCCGCGATCGCCAGGCGTTCCTCGACCATTTTCTCGGCCATGGGCGCTCCCACGTTTCGCAGCTCCGCAATAACCTGCAAGCAGCAAGGCATGGCCGCGGGGACCTCGAGGTTCTCGACTTCGTCGGGATCGGCCTGCCCTTCCACCTCCCCCTCGTCGTCTTCCCGCTCGGAATGGGCGCGCCCTTCCTCGCGCCGTGTCCCCGCGGGCTTCTTCGCGGCCGCGGGCCTCTTGAGCGGCGCGCCATGGCTCGGCGGCTTCTTCTTGAGCCACGTCGCGTGCATAGCATTCGGCGCCTCCGCTTCCTCGTCGCAGCCGCGCGCCCTGGCCGCGCGCGGGCCTTCGGGCCCCGGCGTAAATTTGCATTCCGCGGTCGCCCCACCGCTTTGCCCCATCGGGAGCGTGCGTTCGTAGTCGGCAGGGAAGATCTCCACGTCGTCCTTCTTCTCGTCGCACTTCACGCGCTGGTTCTGCTTGGGGGCGGCGGCGGCAGCGGCGGCGCCGCCTGGCGAATGCGCGATGCTGATGGGGCCGCTGCCGCGCGGCGCCAAGATCCTCGCCCCATTGCTCAGCGGGACCCCCGTGGGGGCCTTCGCGCTGCGTGCCTTGTAGATCGACCCCAGGCTCATCGCGGACCCGCTGGCCGAGGCAGGGGTGCTCGCAGGTCTCGCGGGGGATCTGCTCCTGCAGTGGCCCCTCGTCGTCGGGGTCTTCTTGTTGCCTGGTTCCAGCCTTCCAATCCCGACGCGCTTCGCTGCGGGGCGCGACTTCGATCCGTCCGCGGCCGTTCTCCATTTCAGGGGGCGCGCGGAATGGCTGCTGGCAGCTGTCTCGCGTGCGCGTTGGCGTCGTCTTCGGTGATGCCGAGCTTTTCGATGAGCGCCTCTCGCAATTGAAGATCGGCTATCCGACGGGCGCGTTGGATGACTTTGCCCAGAGACCCCATGTTGCTGGCGACGAGATCGCCTATGTCGGATTGGTGCATGCTCATCTGCATGAATTCCGCCTGGCAAGACTGCGCCGAACTCTCCATGTTTTCAACCGTAGCAGTGTTCTGTACCCGCTCGGCCATATGTACTAAATCACAACGTGAGCCCAAACGGTTTCGGATCGGGATATGTTCGTTCGTTTGCTGCCCTACCCTCTCCTGTTTTGGAGGGGCGACGTGCCCGCAGTGAGCAATGTTGTCAGCTTCGCCCCAAACTAGTCGCATCCTGGAAAAAAAAGGCTGTCCTCGCTAATTAAGGAAAGGCTGTCGTCGCTAATTAACTTCTGATCTGCATGCATGGCTAATCTGAGCAGATTGGACCCTCAAGGAGCGCTGGCGTTCGGCGTCTGGGGGCCGCTGTCGGGCCCCGGGGCCGCCGGGGATCGATCTGGCGCGAAGAACTAACTGGCTGAGGTTGGCCCCGGCGAAGTCCCGGGGGCCGATTTTGAGTGAATTTGCTTGCGCCCCCGCCCAATTCAGAACCTCCGGCCGCGCGCTGAAGCCCCGCCCGGCCCCCTTGCGCCCCGCGGAAGTTCTGGGAACCTCGCGGGGCCACGCGCCGCCTCCAACGCCAATGAAAAACCTCCCCGCCCCCCCCCCCCTCCCCAATCCCGCGCGGGGCCCCGCGGCGCGCTCCTTCTGTCGAGCGGTTTTTCCGGCGGTTTACACAGCGCAGCAAGAGCCGCCGCCTATCCGCGCGCGCGCGAACCCCCCGCCGACGACGGACAAACGGGGGCGAACGTGTCTGAGCAAGCGAACGCGCCCAAATAATGTCGATCAAAACCAGCCCGCTCGCAACGCGATCCGATAATGACACGCGTTCGCCCCCCGGCCCCCACCGCTTGGAAAACTCGCCCCCGAATTACCCGAAAGCGCTCCCGGTCCAAAATGTTCCGGCGCCTTCCGAGTTCCTCCATGGCCCTCCGCTAATTATTTCTCCGAGCGTTCGGAGACGGCCCCCGTGTTTCGGCGCCTTTTGCAGAGCTCCTTTGCTCCCCGGGCCCGTTCAAAGCCCTCCTAGGCTTGGAATATTTCCACTAACCTCTGAGTAATTTTTTCCCGGCCCTTTCCACTCCCCTAACCTCCCGGAGCGCCTTCGGGGCCACCCCCGCCTCGTTGAACGCCCTCCGGGCCCTTCCCGGGCCCCCCCTCGTTCCCGGAAGCATTTCAGAAACCTCCCGTGGCACTTCCCGCGCCCCCGACGCTTCGGAACAGCGCGGCGTTTCTCTTATGCGTTGCCTACCCCCGACTTGCCCTTGGCGGGCGCCACGAGCCGGGGCGGCCACCGCGCTGCGCGCCCTTGCTCGGCGCGGCAGCCGGCAGCCCTGAGAGACGAGCCTCGGGTGAGGCGTTTTCATTCCCAGCTGCCGTTGTGCAGTTTTGGACAGGGCCGCGCAGGCGGGGGGCGCTGCCCTGCGCCCCCCGCGCAGGCCTTTGCCTTCATTTGCGCTGCCGCAGGGCGGCGTGCGCAAGCGGGCCCAGCTCGCAGCATTTGGCAGCGGGCGGCTGGGCCCCCAGCCCAGCCCAGCCATGACCTTCTGTCGTTTTTGAAGACGCGCGCGCGGGGCCGACCTGGGGGCGTTCTGGACCGACGCCGCGACCTTGGTTTCGGCAGGTCCAAACCCAGTATCACACCTAAATTAGAGTCCGCACTCAGGCCTAAATCAGATTTGGTTCTTCGGGGCATAGTCAAATCCGAGTTCCAGTCAGACTTAAATTAGGGTTGGCGTGGAGGGCCAGGCTTGAATCAGAGTTCCAGCGCAGACGTATATCGGGCCTTCATCGGAGCTGTGGGCCAAAACAGAGAAACGGAGCTTGCCTCCAAAACAGAGAATCCTTGCTGCTTCGTTGTGCCCGCCTCCGTTTTTTCATGCAGCGTCCCATCAGCTTTGGGTCATCGGTGGAACTCTGATGACGCCAGGGCGCGAGCGAAGTGGCGAGCGAGGAGGATGCGCGGGAGGGGGGCGGAGGAGGGGAGGGGGGAGTGGGAGGGGCAGGGCAACGCTCGGGGGGGGGTAGGTTCAGGATGTGGCGCATTGGCCCCCAATTGCCCGCTCATCGCCGGCAGGGGCCCGATAGGACAGGCCGCCCAGGGGCGCGCTGCTTCGTCATCGAGGACCCATCGCCGATATATCAGCGACTCCTCGCCGATGCAAGGTCGACGCTTTCCCCCCATGAGCCAGCCCCCCCGGATTGATCGCGCCCCCTTAGCTGACGACAGGGGTGGGGGGTCGGGGGAGGGGTTGGACGACTGCGGCGGCGACGTCGACGAACGGCAAGGCGATGATAACGGAGGGGTATTGAGGGCCCGAGGTGGTGCCAGGTGGATCAAAGGAGTCTACGGTGTTTGGGTGTTTTTGTTGGTGTTTTTGGGGCGCTGAGCATGGGTAGGTTCGCCCAGCGAGGAGGCAGGACGGGCAGGGGTTGCCGCGGCATTGTGTATGACGTTTCCTTGCGCATTGGTTTCAGTTCGATGTATCATCAGCGACACTGCGGGCCACGGTGTTCGTCAGTGAGTGAGAAAAGAGTAGAAATGACGATGGCGACGGGGGATGATGGTGAGGAGGAAAGTGGAGGAGGAGGAGGAGGAGGAGGAGGAGGAGGGGGAGGAGGAACTCGACGAGGGAGCAGGAAGAGGATGAGGAGGAGGCCGACGATTACGTATGACGATAAGGAATATGAGGAGGGACGAACGGACCACGGGCGAAACCAGGACGCCACGAATGCAAATCTAACGCACCACGGTTGGCATTGAGCATCGGTTTAGATCGGGGGTCGTTCCCAAATCCAGCTACTCATCTTGAGCATTTATGATATTGGGGAGCCCTTGGGAAGCTTCGAATGGTCCGGAAACCGCAGAATATTTCTAGGACAAGTTACCTCCCAGACCAGTCTTTTTCATGCTGAGGAATGACGCAGGAGGAGGCGGTATCGAAAGGGACGGAGGGAGGGTGACAGAGGGCGGGCGGAGGGGGGGAGCAGCAACGCTCCCAAAATCACGTATTTGGCGTGGGACGTCGAACGCGTCATTCAATCGGCGGCGAGCGAGGGGGGTGAGTGAGAAGGGAAAGGCCTTCTCTGACGGCGGCGCGATTTTTCATAAACTTTCAGGCTTTCTTAACAGTTGTTCGATGTATCCGTGGCCCGAGGACTTCCGAGCCGTCTGAGGAAACCCTCCTCCTTCTCACTTCTCTCCTGGGCTCGCCGCCGATTCGGTGTTTGGGAGGCATCGGCATCGATGCCTCAAGACGATGCCAGGTGTGCTGGCAGCGCGAATGGCGCACAGGTTGGATGCGGCTCGGGCCTCGACGCCAAACCTGACCCCGACACCAAATGCGTCGATGTCGACGGCGTTTCCTCGTTTCTGGGCATGCGGTTCCCCCCACCCCCATCATCCGAGCAGCGCGCACAGGCGATCGTCCCGATTTTTCCGCCGGTAGCGGCGCTGATGGAGGCGCTGCGCCGTTTGCCGCCCGCCGCAGCGCAGCATACGTATTCACTCGTTTGCCTGATCGGCCGGTCATCAGTCGAGACACCCCTTTGCGCACCGAAGATGCACAGGAAATCCCTAACGACAGATCTCATGCTCCTCCTTCCTTCCACACCCCCCCGTCCATACTTCCTCCCTGCTCTCCTCCCCCTTCCCCCCATCCCGACCCTTTTCCCCCCTCATGCGCCCCCTCATGGCGCCGAATCTTACCCGAACCACCAAGATTCTTTTGTCGGGCCCTTCCATTCTTCTCCCGACATGTGCGCGCCCCCCGAGGGAGATGGATGGGGAGGAGGAGGAGGAGGAGGAGGTGGAGGAGCAGGATGAGGAGGAGGAGGACGACGAGGGGGGGGGGGAAGGGGGGGAGAGGAGGGGGGGACGAATGAGGATGAGGAGAGGAGGGAGAGGACGATGAGGATGAGGTATAGGAAGGGGGGAAGAAAGGAGGGCGGTGCAAGGGGGGAAGGGTGGAAAGGTGAAGAGGCGATGAGGTGAGGTGCGGCGGTGCAAGTCGGGCACATTCCCCGCGGAAGCGAACCGAACGTCTAAAGACCCCAGCCTCGAACCCCGAATCTCTCGTCGGGCGCCACTTTGGCCCTTTCCACGACCTGTCCCACGCTCGCCCAGGATCCCCAGGATCTTTCCAAGACCGTCCCCGAGCACCTCCTATGCCTCCTCCTCCTCCGCCTCCTCCTCCACCTTGTGCGTCGATTGATTGAACCTGCTGGTGAAGTTCGCGTGGCCGCTGTTTCGTTTGTTCGAGCTGCGACATAAGAAGCAGTCAAGAAATAGTTATGTGATGCACTTCCTCGGGGTGGGCGTAAAGTACATGCTTGGCTGAAGTCTGAAGGGAAGGTTAGCGTGGAATACCTCGTGGCCCCTGATGGTGTCCGCCGGACTTCCGAGAGCAGGATGGAGTATCGCCAGGTTGTTCGGGGTAAGCTGTGGTCTCTCCCTCCTGGCTATTTGGTTACCTTGAGCGATACGATAGGTGAGGTGCATGCCCAAGCTAAGATGGCTCTCATGGAGATTTCTGATTTCACCCCGGAGGATGTGGTGCAGTCTGCTATGCGTGTCTCTGCCTCTACTGCTGTGGGTGTCGTCTCCCAGGGTGTTTCTGAACCTGTCTGGCCAAGCTCTGTGTTCACTTGCTGCTACTTTCAGCCAGTGCGAGAAGGGTATGACCTTCCGCAGCAGTTGTGTTTGAATGTTGTGGCGATGCTTCCGAAGTCGGGGAAGGATGAACGCGATGACTTTAAATGCTCGACTGTATATCACTTCTATGCGCGCATGCGTGGTGATGAAATACGGACATGGAGTGCGGCACATACCGATTTCAGGGACTCGGTTGTGCGTGGGTCGTCGGCCCTTCAGGCCGCGTTGTTTCGCGACTTGTTTCGTTGGGCAGCACGGCCGCTTGGTTTCGAGTCAGTTGTGCTACATTGGGATCTGGACAAAATGTTGGTCTTGTGATGCCTTCGTTGTTCATACACCTTGCTTTGAACATTTGGTTGCCCTGGTCACCTGTTGTAGTTCGGCATTCCTGTGAAACCTAACTTCGGTTGCTGGAAGTTGCTGACACGATTCCGGAGGTCATCCCCGCGGGCCGCTTGATTTTCGCAGGGTGTTCTCTGTAATCTCCGTGGGTGGAGGCGTATTTGCATGAAGTTCTCGATCTTACCAATCGCAAGCTGCCAATAGTGAACACTCGATCGTACGAAGACGCCGTCCTGAAATATATTGGAGGCATCCGGCGTCATATTCTGTCTGCTCTGCAAGGTACGATTGATGTTTTTGTCTCGGACGTACAGCCCCTTGGTTGTATTGGCTCTGTGAAGTCAGCTGCCGTTGCATCTTCAGCCCCGCTTGCTCATGATCTTGGTGCATTCTTCAAGGAGAAACCTGTTTCTATCAAGTTCGCGTTTCAGGTCAAGGATTGCAGGTTCATGACTGCGGCGGGGAAGAGGAAAGGTACGTGGCAGGTCAATATCTGCCGTCGAAGAAGCTTTCAAGCGTTCTCGAAAGTCAACGCATCTTGCTCCAAAGGCGAAGAAGGGGTATACACCTGGAGTTTTCCCGGTTGGTATCCCACGCCATTCGGCGAATGGATTCACGACGCCTGACGTTCAAAGCTCTCCGTCCCAGACGACCAAGTGTTCTGGCCATTGGAATTTTGGGGCTTGCCATACCACCACCTTTACTGTTGATGAGGATCTGTCTGACGACCCTGCTTTACGCATGAAGGGAGAGCACCTCCAGGCCGTTGCTGATGTTTGGCGCGCTCTCTCTGCTGGCCAGCAGCTCGGTGTTCGACGGACTTGGGAAAAGCATGGGGGTCGACCTGCTTCTTTAGATGTTACGAGGCGCTTGAGGACAGTGAAACGACACATTGCCACCTGGTTGCACCACTTTGAACTTTGATTCGATTCCTAACTATGTTGCCCTTTGGTCCTGTCCCGTGGGCAAGCTTTGTATTGAATGTCTCGATCTCCTGTGCCTCCCCTCTGTTGATGCGGAGAGCATTGTCAAACGTACTATATGGAGCAAGGTCCCCCTTCATTTTCGTGGCGGTGGCTTGAAGGGAGGAACTGATTTGACGGGCTTCCGTAGGATGATAAGAGTATGGTGACGAAGCGGGAGGCATTCGGAAACGGCCATCCTCTGTCGGTGTTGTAATTGGCGCCGTGTTGCCTGAGGTTCGGCTTCAGGATGAAACAGATTGGAGGGGCCTTGCGGCCGGTGCCGCCGACCCTGAACGACGACGACGACAATGTTGACATGGGTCAGAGTCCTCAGGGATGTTTCTTGGGTCTCTTCGGGACGCTCTCGGGGACCTCTGGGGCGTAATTTTTGGCCTTTCGTGGGTCCTGCGAGCTTCTTCGGGGCCTGTTGGGAGGCTCCTGGGCGCCTCTTGGGGCTTCCTTGAGGCCTCTTGGGTTCTCTTGTGGACGTCTTGGGGGCTTCTTGGCGCTTCTTGGGAGTCTTTCAGGCCTAGGGCTCGAACTTTTCGTTCGGGCGCCCCTTCAGGGCACTCTTGGGGCCGTTTTGATGGCCTCTTGGGCCGTCTTGGACGCCTCTCGGGCCATCTTGGGCCCCCTCTTGGATTGGTTTGGGGCCTTTTTGGAGGCCTCGTGGGCTTTCTTTGGGCGAAAGTGCGGGTTTTGTGGTCGCTGGGGGCAGTCTTGGTTCGTCCTGGGGTGTTGTGGGCTTTCTGATCGGAGACTTGCCCCTGCCTCCACAGGCACCCCCCCCCTCTGCAGGAAAGGGATCAACGGACAGGGGCTTCTCTTCGACTGCTCGCTTTCGCTTTGGCTGGCGCGTTTGAGGATGAGGGCCCAGTAAAATGGGGGGGGGGCGGCGACGGCGGCGACGACGACGACGAACTGAAGAGCGTCTTCCACACGCCGAGAAGGTCGGCGGATTTATCGAGCGCGCAGTGCCAGAAATGTGGGGTCGAGAGAGAAACTCCTCTGCGCCGTGTTTGGGGATGTTCGGCTTATGATGGTTCCGTTCATGCGCGCATGCCCCAACAGTTGGTTGAGACACCTCTACATGATGAGCATGCCAAATCTGCCTTTCGGAATTGAGGTGTTACGACATTTGCTGCTGCCGTCGGCCCATTGCCTCCGCCGCGCAGTATTGCTCAGTTTTGGTGTTTGCATGGGCGTTCCGGGCAGCTTTCGCGCGCGGGGAGAAGCCGCGACGGTGCAGTGAGGCCCGTCTATTGCTTTTCTTCTTGCTCATCTTTCTGTTGCGGGACGGCTACCGTTGGTTGAGGCGAATCCCCATCCTGCCCGCCTGCGCGCGCGGCCTCGCCGCAGGTGGTCGCGATTCGCCTCTAGCTTGGCCGTCCCGCGTTCGGGATGCGTTTCCCCACCCGTTCGACCCTGCTGCGCGAGCGCAGTAGTTGCTCGGCTCAGCGACGCCGACTCGCGCTCCCCCCACGGCCTGGCCTGGGCCCGCGCAGGTCGACGGCTGTGCCCTGCGTAAGCGCGGGCCCAGTCTTGACGCGACTTCTTTCGCTGATGATAGCGTCGCACGTGGGGGCAAGCACGGGCCGGATAGATCAGGAAGGAGGTTTGCCAAATATCATACGTTGTGACGTTGCAGGTGGTCGGTAATACGGCTTGATGAAGCTAGCGTGGGCGATTTTGGGCTTCATTGCGATGACTACCATGTGGTACCTTAGCGGCCCGTGCTCAACCGAACCCCCGCTCTGAGTTGCACGTGTTCGTTGTGTTCGTGTCACGTTCCATAGGATCAACGGTGGCTTATATCAGAAGTCCATCCTTCTCGTTCGAGGCCTTCGACGTGGCTGGTCGTATGTGGCCTGGGCGTTTTCGATGTTCGCGCTGCTCAGGTATGGGAGTTGCTAGATGTCCATGATGGGCACGTCGCGGATTTGTGGGTGAAGGCACATTCCAGAGGACCTTGAGTCATGCTTGGGTAATTATGAGGCCGAGTTCTTTCCTGAATTAGGGCGTCGGTGGATTCGTTGGGGAGCCCGCCGCCTTGGGAGAGACCCCCCCCGAATAGGTGGAGGCGCTGATTGCAGTAATTAAGTGATATGGCCGCTGGCGTCTTGCAGCGGATCCCAGCGGTCACTTTGGAACATCGACTAATTTGTCAGAGGTTGCAGTCTGACTGGGTGGGGGGCCCCCGCCGCGTCCCCGCCCCTCCCATCTGATTTCGCTCGGAAGAAGCGGCTCCTGGCTCGCATGTGTTGGTCATGCCCCGCGCCTTGCGGGCACGAGGCGTGTATGCACCATCTGTAAGGTGAAATTCGAGGCGACGAGAGGCCAGGTGCTTTTTATGGCCTGGCAAACGCCTGGGCCCCGCAGTGGCCGTGACCCTGTCCAGTGTATTGCAATGAAGGCCGGTTCGTCGCATGTTTCGTTCGTCAACAAATTGTTTTTTGCCAGACTTGCGGGCGTTACGCTGTCAATGGGGCCCGTTCGATTGGAGAAACGTGCCCCGTGACGGGGGCACGATTCGAAGGCAGGCATTCGCTTGGCCCCGCAAAGGCTAGGGCCAGTGTCTTGTCCTTCTGTCCCGAGGATGGCCCCAGCGTGCCGTATGGATCTCCGCTGGGCGTGCGTTTGGCAGCCGAGTCCTGGCTTGATCAGGAGTGTTCATCTGGTCCAGTCCTTTTCTTCCTTCTTGTTCTTCCTCCTCCTCTGGCACTGCTGCCTCGTCGTCTCATCTTCTCGTTTCTCCATTCCCCACGTTCCCCGTCCACACACCTCCTTTTTCTTTTTTCCCCGCCCCTCTCAACCCGTCCTCTTCCTCATTTCCGATCCCCTTGCTCATCCTCCTTACGCCTCCCCCCTTCTCCTGCTCCTCCTCGTCACCCTCAGCCTCATCCTCACGTTCACCTCATCGTCCGCCTCCTTCTATCCCCCGGCAAGTCAAAGTCCCTGGACCAGCGAGCCAGTGCATTCGGCAGGAGCATAGCGAGATCAGACGAGGGAAGGGAGGGGGAGAGATGACAGATGACGGGCTTGGAACGAAGCAGAAAGCGATGGTAGGGAAGGGAACGAATGGGGGGGAGGGGCATCGAGCACGAAAAAGGGGAGAATGGGGAGAATAGGACGCCGTACTCGTGAGGATATTCAAGGGGGAGGACTGGGAGAATGAGCGATCGCGGGGGAGAAGAGGCGACAGGAAAGGCGGGTGGGGGTCCATTCATCCATGTCGCCAAGGCTGGAGACGGCTCGACACAGGTCAGGAATGTGGCATGGAAGGGTTCAGGACTCAGATTTGCTCGGACCATTCCCGTTGTCGCCCTCCTTCCTCATCCTCCTCCTTTTTCCTCCCGTGCCCGTCCTCCTGCTCACCCGCCACCTCCTCGTCGTCGTTGTCCTCCTCCTCCTCCTCCTACTTGCACAGATCGAGTTACCGATAGCGCATAAAGCTACGTCCTTTTCCTTTTCAGTGCCAGGCCAGCACCTAGCCAGCATATCCCCCGTGGTTTTGTACTCGCACCTCTTTCATTCGCTTGATCCCCATCTCTCCATTCACCTTCGCCTCCTTCCCCCTGCCGCCTCCCAGCCTGCCCCTCCTTCTCCCCCTCCCTCCAGCCCCGACATGGCCCACATGGGGACATCCTGGGAGCATCTCGAGGCCTTCTTGCGCTGATTGTGTGTTTGATTGTGGGGTGGGGTGGGGGGGGCGGAGTGCTCTGACGCGCCTGAGGGGGCCCTGAATCGGAAATCGTGGAGTCATCCTGGGGAAAGTGTGTGAGTAACGGGGAAGAGGAGGAGGAAGAGGAGGAGGAGGAGGAGGAGGAGGGGATGCGGAGGGGGATGGGCGACGACTTCCTTTGGCCCCCCCGTGAGGTTCGCATCGGCACTGCCCAAACGCAGGGCCGCCCGACGGTGATGCTTTCGACGCCCATGCCGAAGACGACGTTGACGACGCTGCCGACGACGACGTCGATGGCGGCGACGTCGCCGTCGAAGGCAGCGTCGACGATGAGGACACCGACGCTGACGACTGCGACGGCGGCCGCCGCTGAACGTCGTCGACGTCGACGTCGTCGGCGGCGACGGCCAGGTGGCCCGGCAGGCCGCGAGCTTGCCGCGGCGAACTTGGCGCCAGACGGGCCGATCCTCGCCGACTCCCTCGCGGCCATGGCGGGCGACACGGCCGCTGCCGCAGTGCCGCGCCTTTCGAGAAGGAGGAGAAGGAGCAGGAGGAGAAGTAGAAGGAGGAAGGGAAGCAGGATGCAGGAAGGGAAGGAGGATGGGAGGAGGAGTAAGAGTAAGAGTAAGAGTCCCAGGACGATGTCCGAACCGAAACCTGAACAAGGGAGCCCTCTCTGGGCTCTTCTGGCCGACTCCCTGGCACTATAGACCTTTGGCCAACGTCCCCTCTGAATTCGATCAAGATACACGACTCGAGTTGGGGTGGTTTTCTTCGAGCACGTTTTGCCCAACCCCAGAAGGTGCATATCACCGAACATTCCACACTTGGAGCAAAACCAAACGTTTTAATCGTGATTTAAGCTCGTCAACTTCACACTGTGAGACTCATGCACCCACCCCCCTGCGATGTGCAACTCCACCCCCTGGGGAAGAACACTCACCTTAGAGTCAACCGCCACGGGCTGGAAACACGGCGTTGAGCGCCACCGCCGACGCTCGGCGAAGGACGCTGAGCTCCTACACCTACAGCACCGCCGCTCAGACTCGTCCAGAACATGAATACTAGTCAGGATGGACACGGCTTCTGGGCACGGGGGAGGGTAGAGCGGGGGAGGAGGAAGAGTGGCAGGAGGGGGGGAGGAGGAAACGCTTCCCTCACTCAGACCGTCCCTCCTTCGGGCTCCATCGCCACGACATTGGCCATGGCGCTCCCGACCACAAGCCAGAGCGGAACCTGCGCCTGCAGCGCCGACTCTGGCCCCACAACTCCGCCCCCTCTCCGCTGGGGGACGCATATTTCTTCTCATACCATCCATCATAGACACCTTGGTTATCGGTGTTGTACACCACGTGCTGTGTGGCTATGCGGAGGGCCATCCACAGGAGGAGGAGGAGGAGGAGGAGGAGGAGGAGGAAGAGGGAA